ATTTTCATGCGTTATTTCTGACATTTCTCATATGTGTATTATATATGGTTTATAAGACGTATATACTATCTGTCATCGCGGTGACAGGTTGTGTTCACTGACAACACGTTAAATAAAAATAACAATAGCGTGCGCGTAGAGCGCGCCTGTGTTGTGCTAGTAAATTAAAAAACAACTCGCAAATCAGAAAACTTTCAAAATTCGATAGAATCGCAAATTATTTGCGTACAAATGCTCTTGTCTGGAAAATATTTGACGATTCCAGTCTGAGAAAAGCGTTTATTCGAGATCTTTTCAAGCGAAATGTATGCGATGTGTGCGAAAATCGACGTTCTCTCCGCAGAAGTGGATAGGCATCTCTTATTTTGCCGCCGCGTCGCGTCGTCGACATTCCGCGGCACGTATCCGATCGCTCGGAGAAGAAGCGTTTCTCTTCTCAGACGGTGCGGTTTGAGTGGGCACTCGAGAAAATGGACGAAGGGGAAGGAACGCGAAAACGCGCGGGATTGTCTCCGCAAAGCTCTTCCGACCGTCGACTTGATAATGCGCTCGGAAAATTCTACGCGTGAATCGTATTGCCTCGAGGAGAGGGATCGAGAGCTCTTCAAGAAATCGGCTGGCGATCTTTGCGAACGTCGCGTTATCAAAAAAATATACTTCAGTAATTTTCGAATTACTGTCTGTCGAAACAATCAAAACACGTGAACGTGAAAATTTTGAACGAAAAGCAATATAAAACTTATTTGTTTCTCTCTGCAGCGATCAGTTACAGAGCGAATTAGCGATTTCGTTTATTGACAGAAATCCGATCTGCCAAATTGTACAATCGCGTGGGTAACCGCAATAAAGACAAAAATAAAATCAGCCTCCTATCGTTGCGCGTCTGTGTGCAATAAACCGTGGAATTTAATGTGCGACGGGCAAATAAAAATTTTACATACGATTCGTATTATTGTGATCAAATAAAATTGTGTAAATTATTAATTGCGCACACCTCTAATGAGCAAATACGCGCGCGATAGAAGCGCCTTTCGACAAGAGCCTGCTTGCCTCAGGGAGCAAAGGTCAAAGTTTTCGAAATGACTGGAAGCCGCGGAATGTCGACGGTTCAGCTCGTTGTATAGTCCTCCTCTCTCAGTCAGCTATCCTGCCGCATTATCCTGCCGTATCTCTTTATACCCGTACCATCTCCGTCCTCGCCACACATATATTTTATCCTCTCTTCTTCCCGCGCATGTTCAACTAGTCTGGAACACTTAGGCTCCTCGAAGAAGCCCGAGATCGATGCTCGAGATAGTCGCGTTACTTAACAGGATCACAGGATACTAAAAGAAACCGTTTTCCGCCCATTAAATCCGGTTAAGCGAGCCTATTAATTAAATGTTCGCGCACTTCGACAGGAACGTCAATTTCATCAGAGACACATTGCCGTATTGTTTTACGCGTTCTATACATATATTGCTACAAAACCAAAATTGTTCAATTGAAAAAATTAAACTTTTTGTGTCTCAAAATTAATCTTCACTTTTACTTATTCAGCATCTAAACACTCGAGTAAGACCTACGAGTCAGACAGACTCGGTTTGTGAGACCCACGCGACTTTAAAATCTCCGCAATCTTTTTTCAATTTTGTTTCGTTGAATCGAAAGTTTAAACAATTTCTGAGCTCGATAAAACAAACAAATTGAGAAAATTTTTTCAAAGATATGAGCGTTTAAAAAAAAACTAATTTTTACTAGAAACGCCGACGCGCAACTTTTGAATGGGTCTGGGAGACCCATGTCAGTTCGCAAAGAGTTAAACTTGATGATATAAAATGTGAATACCTAGTATAAACACAGAATGGGAAAGATACAACGTTACATTGTGTGTGGCGGTATGAGAAAATATGATATTCGAGAGGGTCGACGCGGACGAGATGACACTGTAAGGTACGGTGAGGTACGGCACGAATTCGACAACACACAACCCTTTGCGATGTCCGTGCTGCAATTCTCTCCGTTGTACGTCTCTTCTTTTTTTTTTTTTTAGTTTTTTATTTGACGTCGCGAAACGATGAGGGAAATTAGATGTCGGGATTATGCAACCGGAAACGTATTACGATCGCATTTGGAATTCGTAACAGACGTTGCCAGAGATCGAGCGGGTAAGTTATTATTATTCGAGAAACGAGCGTTCCGATGCGGATAAATTAATACGAACGTAACAACAAGTTCGTCACGCTATTTGAGAACATTTGAGAAAACTGTGTGCTTAATAATAATAAGACTACGAGTCTGATCTTAAATTACTTCGATGAGTTTTTTTAAAAATCTTTGCTCTTTCGATATAAGATAAATTATCGTAAACGAGATTGAAGAAAATGTTCTTTTCAAAAGGAATTTAAAGACTTTACAAACAAATGCTGAAAAAAATCGATCGCATTTTATTTACCGAAGCGAACACACACACACACACACACACACACATCCCCATTAATACATCATACAGTTCGTTCATTTATTGAAAACAACATCATAATGACGTGTAATCAGCGAACATTGGAACGATATCATGCCGACGAGAGAGCGCGGAACATTGACAGCTGGATCAAGCGAGCGCCGCATCCCGATAAAGAGATAACTAATGGAGAGGAGAACGAAGCAAAAGCACAGAGGGACACGCAAAAAGGCGGTGACCAAAGAAAAAACAAAAATAAAGAAAGAAAAAATAGGGAGTAGAGAAGGAAAGGGGGAGAGAGAGAGGGAGGGGAGACGAGGAGAAAAAGAGAGACGAAGAGGAAGGTACGGGAGAGTTCCAAAAACCTAAGAAGAGCATCGATCGCAGCTGTCGCCTGTTCGCTCCGCACCTGCTATTGTCCGCTCGTCTCCCGGTCGACGACAAGTGAGAGAGACCGACCCCTTTTCTTTCGTATATACGCACACGCTGCCAGCACACGAATGAGACTGAGCGTGTACCGCGCGCGTGTTGTGCGCGCTTCCCCTCCGTGTCCACGGTCCACGTGACGTTGCGTGAGGTCGTCTTATCGGACACACGCACCGTGGTTTCTCTAATTAGCGCGACAGCGATAAGTACGTTTTTGATGATGCTGCACCTTGTGACGTTCGTCGCGCGGGATCGAAATTTTATTTCCCGATGTTTTGTCACGCGTGTGAGAAGAAATTTGTCCTGCCGGGAGTGTTAACATCAGAACTTCTCTGCGAGAGAAGTCTTCTCCTGAGTTTATTATTTTTATAGACGAGACGATTATATATGGGAAGATTATTGAGATATGTTATGTATTAAAATTTAATTTTAAATCAAATTGAAATTAAAAAAAGAAACAAATTTTATTACTGAGAAATAAAATTGTTATCGAATTGCGCTCGAAACAACAACGTTCTATTTGCGCAACCTAATGACAAAAGTGATGACGACCGTGATGCTCTTCCCCTTAAAATAACAACTGGGTTTCTGCGACGTACTCGCGTCACGCGGTAACAAATATTCGGCTAAACTTCCTCCCCTCCCCCCCTCGATGAATTCGCTACGGATTTGCCCGTTTGCAAAACGGGCCGCAGAATGAGTCACGAGAAATTTCAGATAGGGGCGGATGTCTCTCTAAAGGGTGCTATCTCGTAAAGGAGCGCGCCAACTGTTATACTCCCCCTCGCGCACTCGTAGGTTGCACATGTGCTCGCGAGGGAATTTCGTCGGTCGCACGACGATGGGGACCGCCGACGATATGGACCCACACACAGACTTTGGTCTTTCGCGAGTCGCAAAATCCCCTGAGAACTCGGCCAAGTGCGCGGCCGAAAGGATATCACCGAGGGTGCGAGAGAAACAAATGGGGGTGGGCCAACCCCCGAAAGAGTCGGTCGGAATTAACGGCGTATCGATTAGCGGAGCCTGCCGGAGAAGTCATTCTTCTCGGGACAAGCTTTCAAAACCGCGTCCCTCGTTGATAAATCTCGCTCACAAATCCAATGACAAATTCTGTCGCATTATTTTCATTCGATATCGTTGTATCATCGGAGGTGGTGAGGAGGCGCGCGCGCAGAGTGACGAATTTGCTGCCGGCGCGGCAAGTTTGCAAGCTACTTCTCGATTTCGTCATTGCGGCGGTATTAATTATAAAAAAAACGTACGTTTTTGCGCATTGCGAATATTTCCGTGCGATATGATCGATCTTGATTAAAATCTTGGAAACAAGCGAGCAAATTCCCGTGCATAGACGCGCAACGGCCGATAGAGAGATGATTGTTATCGCGGCTGTTAAATATTTATACGAGTTATGCGGTCGTGCGCGAACACGATGTTGATAAGCGCGAAAATGATTATCGGCGCGACGTGTATCTGTCAGCGGCACGAAACCCATTGAAATAATGCGCAATATTGACGCACGTGACGCACGTGAAAATGGATTGTTTTTTGTAAATCAAGTTGATCAAATAAAATTTTTTTATTTTTGTTCCGCGAGAGATTCGATTTTCAAGCTGTTTTTTTTTCTCGATAGAAATTTTAAAATTCCACAAGGAATGCCTGTTGGCTCGTATCAACTTTAATAATTAGTTGTTAGTTTTGTTTTGTTGCAAATTATGTATCGACAAGTAGTGTGCAATTACTCATGCGACGTTTATGCAAATAATAATAAAAATAATCAAATTCGGCGTTTGATTATGCGCGATGTCTGTTGATAAATTTTGAACAATCGCGAATATAAAAAACGAGAGTGTTGTACTGCGATAAAAGTTAATATATTTTTTGCTGTTGTTATTTTATTATTTACCATTTGTTCGGTATCTTTTGATATGTATCAGCGAATTTCTGAAATTGATGAAAATTATGCCGCAAATGTTCAAAAGCGAATACTTACCATGCTGCGAAGCCTGCTCGTTCGAGGATCCACCGCCATCAATAAGTGAAGCCGTTGACGCCGATTCGTTGATTACCGTGCCGGAATTTTTTGAGGACGCGTGCATCATAAGCAATCCGCGTCCTTTACCCCCGATCGGTCCACCTCTACGGGATCCTCTCGGTCGACCGCGCTTGCTCGCGCCGCGTACGGATTGTCGCATACGCGCGCTCGCGCCTATGCCGAGAGCGAAGTGATGCCCGAGTCGGGCAACCTTGGATGGAGGTTCTCCGAATTGATGGAGACTTCGCGGCTTGCCGCTTGAAACTACCGTCGGACCGTCTACGTCGACCACAAGCCCTTCGTTGCTAGTTTCGTCCTGCAAGGAAAATTGTCAAAAACATGAAGAGAATCACACAACGTTATTGAAGAACAGTTAGATGTTGTTATATTAAATATTAAAAATAATTGTTTTTATTTTCAAAATGATTCTTTCAAACGTATATAACGTATATATCTCTCTATTTGATAAACTGCACCTCTGATTTGGCTGGACTAGTCGGCGTGCTGTAATTATCCACATTTTCTAATTGCTGCTGATGATGATTGTTCTGGTGCTGTGACTGAATCGGATTGGCGGCCGATTTAGGCTCATTAAGATTAACTTGAACGGTATCGTTGTTTTTGTCGCCATGAGCATCCGCTAGACACGGCTTCTTCGCGTCGTTCTAAAAAACAAAAAAAACAAAAAAAAAAACAAAATAGATCAATCGGGATAAATAAAACGCATGCGTGTGAGAATCGCGTATCATCTTTCTAATTAAAATTATACATATATTATAAGAAAAAAATCAAAGTAAAACATATTTTAATTTAATTTGTATCACGCTTGAAGGATTACTTCTGAATAATTTATCGAGCATCACTGTTTGGTAAATTTAATCTCGCCGTTATTAAATATAACAATCAAAAGTTTATATATATCGGTAAACTCAGTCGTGCCGCGAAGCGTCCCAGAAACCGTACATCAAAGTAATATGAGAAACAGATAACGCAGATAAGAAAGAAAACAAAAAAAAACGTTAGACGAGAAGAAGACAACGAAAAAGAAAAAGGAATTAGAATTTAAGACGCGACCGATAGCGGTGAATAAGGGCGCTGGGCTCACCTTGACCGGAAGCGCGGTTAACTTCCTCTTCCGGTCCCTCTCCTTGTGCTGTAGGTTTGACTCGAGCCGAGCCTCCTCCGCTCGCTGCTGCTTTCTCTCCTCGCTTCGTTGGCTGTCTGAAATATACGGACGTGTATATGGGTATGCTCTGCATGCCGAGGACGCGACGGCAAGTTCGTTACTCCGTTTCTTATTATTCCTTATTAGATCATTAGCATAACCTAACGAGCATAATGTAATCGCGGCCACTACAACCGTCCCTCTCCCTCTCTTCCTGCACCATGACTCGTTTTTCGGTGCGGTTGTATATACACGCGCGTCCTGCCGTGTGTGATAGTTTCCGAGAGAGAGAGAGAGAAAGAGAGAGAGAGAAAGAGAGAGAGAGAGAGAGAGAAAGAGAGAGAGAGAAAGAGAGAGAGAGAAAGAGAAGATTGTGCAATAAACAAAAAAAATGTTTTAATTTCGTAAAAAAATTACAAATATACATTAAATATGGTGCCTCTATTTTCAGTTTAGAAAAAAAGAGAATATCGATACAATACTAAGATTCGCACAAGCAAAACTTTAAACGGAGTTCTGTCTATCAAATACTTTCAAATCAAAATGTTGGGAGGCAAAAAATAAAAAGTATATATTTTTCAACAACATAATGTCAAAGAAATTTCAATTTAGTTAAAAATCTCCATAGATCTAATTTTAAACACAAATGATACGAAAACTAACTGATATACTTACATTTTGCCTCAATTTCCTCATCGTCTAATAGCAACGACACGACCTCTTTCGGTTTCAGTGTGTCAGGTTTGAAGTTACCGCCGCTTATGACCATACGTTGAATCTGCGACAGACAGAGCCTCATATTTGCACTAGCTACTTAACTCGAACATACATACGTAGTGAGCGTAAAATAACACTTGTGACACAAACCTCACTCTTCTCACGCGCTCTCTGCAAAATTCGCTCCTCGATAGTTCCTTTACATATTAATCGGTAGACCGTGACTTGCTTGGTCTGACCAAGTCTGTGGGCACGATCCATGGCTTGCTGATCCACAGTGGGGTTCCAATCGCTATCGTAAAATATCACCTGTAAGCAACGCATCGATAATCGCCGAGTTGTTGTACATATATTAGAGCTTACACGAAAAAAAGATTTATAATACAGGCAGATCATAAGAGATATAATATACACAACTATCTGCGCAACTGAGATAATTAAGCTAGATAGTTTAATTAATATTTATTATGCTTTTTTCTTTGGCAAAAGCCTCTTCGTTCCTTATTTATTGCAAGCGTGTATATTTTTAGATTCTCGATAAAAATTCACATTAATATTCCCAACCACGAGCGTGGCGATCAATCGATAACAAAATCTACAAGTACTTGACTTGGAAAGAATATTTCCAGAAAGTCAAGGTGACGAATGGCGTGAATGTTAGAAAGGATATATAGAATTACTGACCGTGTCTGCTGCAGTGAGATTGATTCCCAGGCCGCCGGCCCTTGTGCTGAGCAGAAATACGAATATGTCCGCCCTGCAACACAAAACAATCCCACAGATTTAACAACGACGTCGTGGAACGACAAACCGGATGTTTTGTATGGAAATGAATTCGAGTCGCATATATGAAGGAATTTCTAGAACAAAATCCTCCCTAATGGGAGCACGCGATTACGCGTTCGAGATTTTGATGGTCTTAAAAACGGCACTCGTTTGCTTTTGCGCATTTTGTTTTCTATATGTATATGTATATATTTGGTAAACAATTAACGGTAATCGACTGCGAAATAAGAAATTACACTAAACTATGAATACAGAATAAAGATGTTGAAATTTTGCTCGTTGCATGAGATTCAATTTTCAACACAAAGAACCACACAATTGTGTCAAAATATTCATTAATTTACAATAATAGTCCACCGTTAAAGCTTCAGTGGCTGTCGTGCATTCAAAAAAAAAAAAAAAAAAACCCCGCAGCTGTTTGTACATGATGGGGGGAGGGGAACGATTCGGCAATTAATTCCCGCGTTAGTTATGCGCGGCTGAACCACATACAGGACATGCGATCTCAGGATCGCGCTTTAAGCAACCCGATACTGTTATAGAGAAATATTCTAATCAGCACGGCAACTCAGGTTGTTGTTGTTGTTGCTATTATTATTATTATAATGAATAACATTCTTATTAAGCGAGCAACTGACGCCGAACGTTCATCGAAGCTCTCCCATCAACACGTGCCGCTTCGCTGCAGTCAGTTACAAACTAAAAAAAAAAAACTAAAAAATTACCTCTTTTGAAAATCCGCCACCATATCCCGACGATCGGAGATTTTCGAGGAACCGTCTAATCTCATAAATGTGTGTTTTCTGTGATACATATACTCCTGCAAGAAACAAAATGTTTCACACAACAAAAATTAATTACTTGCAGAAAAAAAGTGCAGCAGATGAAGAAAACGTACCTCGAGCAAATCGATCATCTTCGTCATCTGAGAATAAATCAGCACTCTGTGACCTTGTTCCTTAAGACGTCGCAAGAGATTGTCTAATACGGAGAGTTTGCCGGCGTCTGTCACTAATGTTTGTTTATCTAAAATAATGTGTTTTATTTGAGAATTCAATACGTTGTTCCCCCTAATGCGATCAAGAATTGCAAGATTACTAAAGAAGTTATTATTTAAATGCGTTATTTATTTATTGCGTCGCACCTGGTACAATAATATGCGACCATCCGTTAACGGGTGTGCACGCGGACAATCCACCACGCGGCTGATAGCAGAACGTGGTTCGGCCCGCGCGAATGCCAGACGCGTTTTCGGAAAGCGCTCGCTCACAACCAAGCCGAAGTACTTTCTGACCGAACTGACCGCCACATTCCTCGTGCCTCTTCCAGGCGCACACCGCCGAACTATTGCTAACGTATAATTTTCGCGGACTAGCTTGAACCTGCGAAAATAAAAAGATATGGCGCATATGTACCATCTCTTTATTTATTTAATACTTGTGTCGTGTATACGTAGGCAATTAATACTAACCTTGGGATTATTATCGCAAACGAAGGCAGGAATCGTTGTCTGTTGGCAATATCGCATTATAGGCTGCCGTGGGTGATGAGGATGCTCAGGTAGCAGAGTTAACTTGGAATCTTCTATTTGTTCCGTCTTGCCAACGGGAACAATTCTTTGCAACTTAACGTCAAAACACGTCGCATTAGATGATGTGTTCGCGCGCTTTATTAAAGTTTATTATATACTTATTTATTAATTCCGTGATGTGAAAAAAAAAAACGTACTTTAGATAGCTGAGTGGCTTTTTTACTACTACGTAATATTCTATGGGCGACGGTTTCCGGCATCGAGTGTATCGTGTGAGTGGTGTGCGTGTAGAAAGGCTCTCCGTCGATTATTTTTTTTGTGAAAAATAAATCCTGCAACGCCGCCGACGAAGTGTCAATTTTTCTGGGTAAATACAACATTTGATTCGCGGGCACGCGGGATCTGTTGTCGAAGCGCCAATTCTCCCAGTACTGCACCATTTTCAACATTCTTTCCATAAACGTTATGAGACATAATCTGCAAATGAAAAATTTGTAAAAAAAAAAAAAACAAAAAAAAAACAAAACAACAACAAGAACTACAAAATAATGTGTACGGAGTTGTTTTTGCTCATTAAATAATATAATAATATTTACACACCTAAATAAGATACCGTCAATGAACGTTTTGTTCATTTCCATTGGAGATAAGTTGATGAATCTACTAAATGAAAACATATTCTCGTGCGGATCCTCGCTGCAGTGAAGAGCGCGATGAATGTATTCAGCAGCAAATATAAATAACTTATTGTACAGCAGATGATCTTTGGATGGCAGTGCCAGATGCAAAAGCCCTTCGTTGTACAACAACGCGGGCATGTTGTAGGATTCTGTTTGCACGAAAAACGGCGATTTGGCGTCTCTACGTTCAAAAAGTTCGGGATGATTACAGACCTGCAATTTAAAGTATATTACGTTTATATAGCGAAACTATTACAGTACATCAAATCGCGAAGAGCTAAACGGTTTATAAAATAAAAATCAATTGTGTGAATCGGACAGCAGTAATTAGTGCAAAGCTATATTGTGTGTACCTTTCGGAACTGCATGACTAGATTCATGAGATTAGAAGTGAAGTTTTTGTCGTTTGATGTAGTATCTCCTCCGCCTACTGTGTAGTGCAGCAAATCTTCTATTCGAATTTTTTTCTTCAACGCTGAGAACAGAACAAACAGAGAAAACATTTATAAATATTATAAACTCTTGCTATATAGTTCTTACACTTAAGAAAATCAAATAAAACATCGAAATACCTGAGTAAAGCAGCTTTTGACGAGTCGTGAGCGGGCAATACACCATTACTTCGATCTTGTCGGACAGTTCATTTTCCACGTCTTTTTTTATTCTTCGCAACATAAAAGGCTTGAGAATCATATGAAGCCTCGACAGATGTTCTGACAAAACATTTGTGCAACATTTTTAAATAAGTAAATTTTTTTAATACATGACTTGTTTTTCGTTTTCCATAAAACGTTGCATTTTTTTTTTTTTTTTTTTAAATTACTCACTTTCATCTATTCCCGTTTTGTTTTCCGCGTGGCTCTCTATGTCCTTGGAAAACCATTCGTTGAATTCGTCGTGCGAATCAAACAACGTCGGCATGATAAAGTGCAACAACGCCCATAATTCTGCCATACTGTTTTGTATAGGAGTACCACTGAGCAATAGTCTATTACGACAGCTGAATCCAAGTAACAACTTCCATCTCATACTGTTAAAAAGAGAACGATTAGTTATTATAATGTTGTTATACAATACATAAAACACAAAGTAACATACCTGCTTGTGCTTTTTATAGCTTGAGCTTCGTCTAGAATCATGTATTGCCACTTTATTCTATTAAAATATTTGTAATCCGTAATTACTAATTGATAACTCGTTATAACCACGTGAAAAGAAGCTTCCTTTGTGTGCAAGTCTTTCGTGTCCCAGAACTGTCTCAGTATCTTGCGTTCTTGAGGATTACCCCAGTACGGAACCACTTTGAATACCGGCACGAATTTCGCCATTTCTTGCTGCCAATTATGCAATGTTGAAGCCGGGGATATGATCAGAAACGGTCCCCAAACGGAGTATCTCTCGGCAACGTGACATAAAAACGCTATAGATTGTACGGTTTTTCCCAGACCCATCTCATCGGCCAATATTCCACTGATACCCTGATCGTACAGATTCGCCAGCCAATTCATCCCCTTTAATTGATAGCCTTTTAAGTTTCCCTTGAAAATCGAAGGCTGTGGATGCTCCAGATTCTCCGGTGTATCACTAAGACGCAATTCTTGGGACGCAGCGGCTGTATCGAATTGCTTGGTTCTGGCTTTTTCATTGTTAAACGCCTCAGTGGCGTTTTTCTTTGCCTTTTGCTTCATAATTTCGCTGTCGTAATCGTCGATGCCGATTAGTCTTGGATTCTTTTCCTCGTCCAACTGATTCAGTATTCTCAATTGCTCCTCCGCTGAGATTTTGTTTATTTTTCGCGACATGAAGTGAGCGTACAGCTCTGTTTGAGTAATCAGAAAATTTAACTTCCTCTGCTGACGCTTTGCTTCGATAAGTTCCACATCCATTTTACGTTGCTCTTCAGCTTCCTTTTCCAGTCTTCTCCTGGTTTCTCGTTCCACGCGATCGTAACGTTTCCAGTAAGTTTGCATTTCTCTTGTTAATCTTTTTGCTCTCCAGATAGTTTCTTTCATATTTTTTTGAGACTGAAACACACAGGGCGAAGTAAAATAATATGTACAAACTGCAATTCTCCAAGTCAAACATAAAAAACACATTTCAATTCATATTAACCTGCATAGCTTTTTGTCGCCAATACTTCATGCAATGCTGCGCTACTTTTTTACAACTTATCAGCATTTCTTTGTGATTATTGGTTTTTGCCCTCTGTACTTTTCCTAATTCCTTTTTAGACATCATAACCCAGATTTTTCTTCTCCTCATCGTCATCACCTCTACACTTTTGGTATTGTGCTTTTTTCTTCCTCTACCTCTAGGCTGATGGCGCATCATAGTCTCCAATTCGGATTCATCCAATTCTTCTTCTCTGGGAGTAGATTTGTCCCATTCTCCTTCCTCCAAATCTCCTTTCTGAAAAGATTTTAGAATAGACATAACAATTTGTATATACAAAAAGTACATTAAGTATACAGCAATATTACAACTTAATACATACATGATATTCTCCAGATCCACGATGGCGATTAATTTTTTCTTTCTTGATTTTCATAATTTTTTTATCTGGCTTCTTCTCTTTTTTCTTTTTGTTACCTACAATCAGCTTTTGGTGATCTAAAAATCTGTCATAATTTGACAACAAACCAGCGCTATAATACTGATACTGTATGTTCTGAAAAAAAAAAAAAAAAAAAAAAATTAAATGTATTTTTTCATACATCCCATTTTATATATTGATAATAATCTTTAACTGTTATATATTGTCTTACTTCTGGTTTCTGATAAAAACGACCTTGATACTTTTTTCGTAATATGTGAAACTTCAGCATGTCTTGAAAATCTTCTTCTGTAACTTCGCTATCTGAGTCAGAGCCTGATGCGGAACTGTCAGAAGAATCACTCAACAGAATATCCTGTAACCAATGTCGCTCTTCTCCCACACTCGACAGATTGTACAATCTGAACTTATTAAGTCTTGTTTCTGTAAAAAAAGTAATAAGTAATTTTAATGTACCTTAAAAATATAATAATCTTAGATTACACATCAAACTTAAGCAATTATGTACCGACCTTCCTTTCGAGTATGTACATTGTCAAAGTAAGCATCTGAACCATCTGAGGATTCTGATGATACAGACTTGTCATCTTCACTAAACAATTGGAAACAAATGTGTTATTGTGTAAATATATCTATAAATAATGCGCAACAATATAACTTTACAGATTTGTAGACATGTATTACCTAGAGTGTTCTTGAAAAAGATTGTTAATATGTTTCAGAAAAGGTTGTATATTGAGACTGCGTTCCAATCTCTGCAAATGCAATGGTGCAGCCATTTCAGCTTCCAGCTTCATTGTATTTGCCTTATCCGACATTACCTGTCTATGCAACAACCTGGAATTCCAACAATCTAAAACAACGCATAATATGAATTTTAAAATTTTTTAGTATATAAAACCAAGTTGTTTTATTTTTATTTTATACACATATATATATACATATATATACTGCACAAGAGCAATCTATAGATATTTCCTACTGTGAAAATTTTTTCAGTAATACAGGAGCAATTTATAAAATTTTCTAATGTAAAAATAATTTTTCTTGGCAATACAATCCCAGTACCGAGTAAATATTTCTACTGTGTGTCAAAGCGCAGTAAATAATACTTGTAACAACAGATATACATGTATCTGAGTTAGCAAAGTGATATAGACTCTTCTTTCAGAATATACAAACCTAACAAAAAAATTCATAGATAAGTGCGGTACTTATAATAAAATTATAGAAACGGGATTATCGCGTGTGTGAGATACGACGAGAGCCGATTGCGATCTATCCGGGCGCGGATAAATAAAATGTGCATTTTCCCCCGTATCTGAGTAGCGAACCGCAGACGGTACTCCGTGAGTCCTCGCGACTCTGGCGAACGAACAGCTTGTATAACGAGCGCGTGGAACCGTCTGTCCGAGATTGTGCGCGGCTAATTTCATTACATAAGGCAAATGACACGCCGTGTATCAAGATCGGGTGCGGTTATAAAATTTCTACTGTGAGATATAAAATTTTTCGCTAACAGTTTTGACTCTTTCACCTTCCACGTCTTGGTTAAGACGCGGATCCCACTTATCTCGCACCGAAAACAGAGTCTACCACCGGAATGCAATTCCCTCTGTTCACAGCGATATTGGATATATCAGTCGGAGAGGAATACATGATAGGAGGAAGCCTAGAGAACGCAGACATTTGGCGTGCCATTAAAGCGGGGCAGGGATAGGGCATATTGTTCGCCACCATTTTTGTTTTCAGTAGGTGGCGTTGGTTGCAGCTGTGCGCGCTCATCTTTCTGGCAATTTCACGTCAAGAATTGCGGTTTGGATTTTCGATCAATAAATCGCGTTTGGACGCATTGCAAACGCGTGAGAGATGTAAAATCGAATGTGTCAAAATAAGAATTTCCGCGAAGAGGAGCGTCAGCGCGCGTTAAGCGCGGAAGAAAAAAAAACGATAGCCAATCAATATGCTGCTTTTCTATAAAAGCATGTTGTCGATTGGCGCGTTGTTTTTTGTCACACGTAACGCGTTAACGCATTCTGGCTGCGGTTTCAATGCTTGGGCGCACATTTATCTATAGTATACGTGACATGTACTACTAGATAAATGCGCGTTCAAGCATGAACGCAGCCAAAGATGAGGCTACTGATCAAACACCAGCTGTCTCTCTCAACGTTGAAGGACATTTTCTCAACATGGCAAAGGTAAGAAACGCGCAGTTTATACATTCTACATCTGTACCCCCGCACAAATTTTTTTGTGGTGCGTTACGTTACGTCAAGGCCATTCTACATAAGACGCAGACGCAGGTTGCAAGTCGCAGATCTCGCGGAATTGACGATTGACGTTTGTCAACATCAGCCAATCGACTTGCGTGATTGGTCAATTTTGCGAGATCAGCGACCTGCGTTTGCGTCTTATGTAGATAGACCTTTACGTAGGACGGCCTTTAAGTACTGGCCATTTAAACTTAGGCTGCGTAACTCAGAACGCAGCCTTAGATTCGTACGTAAACTTGATCTTTGTTCAACGCGCAAACAAACTCTCAACTTATCACGTTTTATGCTACATTAAGGCTGTGTTCCAAATTTACTGCCAGCACGCTGCCAGTGCTAAAATTGTATAATATATGTGACTTAAACTATAGATCTTTAGCGCTGGCAGTGAATTTTGAAACACAGCCTAAGTTAACTTTGTTTGTGCGTTGAATAAAGTTCAAGTTTACATACGAATCTAAGTTTATGGTTAGTACTTAACGTAACGTACCACGAGAGAGCTTGTGCGGAAGTCCTAACCTTTGTTAACGTCATCGACGTTGATTTAATGGTTCTAAGGGCCATTCTACAATGAGTTGAAAATGTCCCGTCGCCAGTTGCAACTACTAGGAAAAAAGTATTATTTTACGCGCTGCGGTTGCCAGTTGCTGTTGACAGAAGTTAAAAGTTGACCAACTCTCTCTCTCCGGCAACGGGACATTTTCAACTCGTTGTAGACTGACCCTAAGAGCCAATCACGTTCTATTATTACAAAGCAAGTTGATCTGTGAACGCAGCCATTTATTGGCTTCTCATTGGTTACGTTCAGAAAACTCAACGGTTGAGAGATCATCACTTATGATAGGACTATTCTTCAAAACCCGGTGCTACGGTTCCAAAAGTATGATCCAATCACAAGTGATTATCTCTCAACCGTTGTGCAACTGTTGAGTTGTCCGAACACACCCGTTGCACGAAGAGAGAGCAGGTATCGCAAATAGAACAAAATTTCCGACCAAAAAATTTCGTATACACAGTTTATTTTTGCTAACTCTCTCTCTCTCTCTCTCTCTCTCTCTCTCTCTCTCTCGCGTAATTCGGAACTTTATCGAGCGATGCACTTCCCGATCGGGTAACAGCCCTCTCTCGTGTATTCGCATAATCCTGGCTCGTAGAGGTTCGCAAGCCATTTTGTGTATCACCGCATATGTACATACAGGAGGACCAGCTGTGTGAAAATCATCGCTTATCGTTTTGCCAGCTGCGTAATGTCAACAGTCGTGCGATTAACGTAGTGCGCCGTGTGTCGCGTGAACTTCACCGAACGACACCGCGACGGCCGTTGCGGAACGAGGTAAAGGAGGATTTGCACAAGTCGCGCTTACAACGCGCCACACACAGTCTCTCTGCCTAAACAGTCGTGTGAGAATTTCGCAAGAGAACAAAGAGTCGTGTGACCGTCTCTCTGAGCCGAAGAGCACCTTTTATTAACCTTGACCCGTTCGTTTTGACAACAGTGAGTATCGTTCTCGAGAGGAGGACGGGTGTGTTAAAAATAATTCTGCTCGAAATGTTCCGCCAATCATTTCCGCGGTGTGCCGTAACACACCTCATTGACTAATATCTGTGAGATATGTCCATTACACATATGCATATACGTAGGTGTGCGTGAAAGAACAACGCAGTTGTTTTCGTAAAGCACGTATCGGATTACGGATTCAGATTGGATGGTTTAAATTTAACCAATTGGAATTAAAAAAAAAAACAATAAATCTCAAGTTTAATGAACTTTGTTCTAAGTGGTAAAATTTCGATCTCGATCTCAATCTCAATCGGTAGTCTGACGGGGATAGAAGATGACGTGTTCGGAATTGCTGCGTTTTTAATTTTAGTTTCTTGACTCTCGTGTGTTTATGTCGTACATACATATATGCGCATATGTCGTATATATATATATATATGTGTATCCCGTGTGTGTGCGTGTGTGTATGCATGTATGTATATATATATGTATATGTATATGTATGTAGATATGTGTTAAATTCGGGCGAATTTTCTTGTGACGGAATTTATAGGTGTATGTATTGGACTTAAATGTATTTTGGCTATTTTCAGATTGCGAGCCAAGTGATGATACCACATGTGTGAAACACTTTGTGATATTTATTTAAATTCATGGAACTTCTGACACAAAGGATACGGTGGATATTTTAATAATTTTTATGGCGTACTAAACAAGTTGGAGCAAAGACATCCTAGTAAAAAAAATGTACATTTGCCTACCAAATATTTGTGATCACTTTTATCGTGTATATCCTGTTGGTTAGTATACAAATGCGTGTATCTCCGTTATAAATCGAAATTAATCTTATTCTTGTGAGTTATTGTTTTTTTCTTTTTCTTTTTTTTTTTTTTTTGTGTGTTTTAGTACATGTTGTACAGGTGGCTTAAATAAGACAAGATGAGTAACGAAAGTGCAGAAAGCCAGCAGCAGCCTCAGGCTATGCAAGACGATCCGGTCTTGATGCAGCCTATATTTCCCAATACAAATATACTTTTTGTGGATGTATTGAAGGAAAAGATGGACAAGGGTGTGTTGACAAGCCTCAGTTTCAGAGAATACTGGCGAATTTGGGTGCCAAAACTATTCAGTCCAGAACCTAATAGCAACTGTCTACAATGGACTATTAACGAAGAGATAGTGTATAGAATGCTGCTGCAGCCTATGGACGAATTTATTTGCGGCGGAGATCCACAGATAGTTTTGAAAGAACTTAGAAAGATGGAGAATCCGCCATCTATGTGTGGCAAAATGTTTAAGATTGGCGAACCGACCTACAGCTGTAGAGAATGTGGCGTCGACTCGACGTGTGTATTGTGTGTCGATTGCTTCAAACAGTCCGCGCATCGGAATCACAGATACAAGATGGGTACATCGACTGGCGGCGGATGTTGCGACTGCGGCGACACAGAGGCCTGGAAAACCGAGCCGTTCTGCAAGATACATCTGGCGGGAACACAGTCAAAGGACTTGCGCGGCAATAAATTACCTGGTGATATTGCGGAGCGAGCGGTCGTGGTTTTCGAAGCGGTGTTAGAATACTGTTACGAACTGTTGACCATGAGGTATACAGTCGCATTACCTACAAATCTCTCTCTTCAAGACACAACTTTTGATTCGCTCACGCACGATCAGTTGAATGTCTTCGACAGTTACTGCACCGTGCTCTTCAATGATGAACACCATACTTTCGATCAGGTGATAGGCATGCTCGTCCGCATTCTTAAGTGTTCACATCGAGAGGCCGTAGAATATGTAACCAGCGTGGACCGTGAGGGCAGAGCAGTAGTCAAGTGCTCGATGTTCCGAGACTGCAATGAACTACGCGCCGACATCGAGAAGTCCACAAACAGAGGAAACAATCGACCGCTCAAGGTGCTCGTTCTTCACACTCATATAGTCGCTCATCAAACGTTCGCACTGGCCTTGATTGAGTGGTTAAAACAGTTCATAAGCTGTTTTGAGGGTTTTCGTATGCTATTTAGCAATATCGCGCTCAATACGAAATTACCCGACACATCGATCGTCGAAGGAATTCTTATCAGAGATTCGCAGTTGTGGAAATGTGCCAGAACTGCGTGGCATCGGTTGTTTATAGCTGGAATGCTAACAGAATACGAGAGCAAAAAGGCACTCGCGATCGTGTTCACAAACAATTATGGTTCCGTCATGAAAGATTTTATTAAAGATGATCACGATCACGCATATTCGATTGTCTCACTTTCTGTTCAGCTGTTTACCGTGCCGACTTTAGCACATTTGCTCATCTCGCATTATAATGTGCTGTTTATTCTGTTCAACACTTTTATTTCCGAGACTTCTCGGCGCTGTAACCCTGCTGGGAAATTGGAGTTCGAGAGAAACACACCGAATCAGTCTTTCAAACGAGCTCTGTACATACTCTTCGATCTGCGATACTTGTTGAGCGCAAAACCGGACGAATGGACAGACGATTTGCGACGTGGCTTTTTGCAAGGACTTTCATTGTTAATGACATTTCTCTGCAGCATGCAGTCCATGGATGCCGTAATCCGACAAGTCGGGCAACATATGGAATACGAACCGGAATGGGAGTCCGCGTTCAATGTGCACATCAGACTTTCGCCCGTAATCACTCTGGCTTTGGAATGGTGCGGCTCCGATAGACTGGTTCTGCTCAAGGCCTTCACGCTTGTACTAAGAAAGTTACACGAACAACTGGGCAATACGCCAGCACCAAGTATAGTTTGCGAGTTAGCAAATCACAGTGCGACGTGCCTACAATACGATGTAGCAACCGAACCGGTGTCTATACATTTGCCGCTCTCGCGATTCTTGGCCGGTTTGTTTTTGCACTTGGAAAAACACAACTTATTCTATCAATCGCCTGAAATGAATATTCAAGCAAGACCGACGCCCGAACAGATCATTGAACCTGTGCTGATGGCTCAAGTTATGATCTCGCAGGTGCATTCAGGCATGTGGCGAAGAAATGGTTATTCTTTGCTCAATCAGCTCTACTTCTATCACAATGTCAAATGTCGCAACGAGATGCAGGACCGTGACATTGTTTTACTGCAGGTTGGCGCAGTTCTGATCGAGAGCAATGAATTTTTAATTCACGTCATGAACAAGTTCAATCTTTTGAATTGGGCACAACCGGACTTCGAGGTAAAGACTCAGAAGAGTTCGGAGGAGGACTGTATCCGACAGACAATTAGTCTAGTCGAGGAGTTCCTGTGCTTGCTTATTACAATTATCGGCGAACGATACGTTCCCGGTGTCGGTGAGGTTACTGCAGATGATTGTCTAAAGAACGAGATCATACAACAGTTGTGCGTTAAGCCGCTTTCGCACTCGGAACTGACCAGAACATTACCGGAGAATGTCGTTCATCATAGCGACGCTATGGAAAGGGTGGTGATACATGAAGTGGCAGATTTCAAGAAACCGACAAACACGTCGTCGGGAAAAGGTGTGTACGAGCTGAAACCGGAATTGTATGCGCAGCACAATGTATTCTTCTATCACTACACAAAGGAGGAGCACAACAAATCCGAAGAGGCCCAACGGAAGCGCAGAAAGGCTCAAAGTGAATTGGAGTGTTGTCCACCGCCGAAGCTGCCTAAGCTGACCGAGTCATTTAGCTTGATCGTGAATCTGCTGCAGTGCGACGTTATGCTCAACATCATGCAAACTGTATTACTACGCGCGATGAAGCCCAATAGCAAAAGCTTCTCCGAGTCGCAGTTGCATATGACGCTTTATCTGATCGGTTACGCGCTCCACGAACACGAATCAGGTCATTATCCTTTCTTCGCGTTTCCCGAACGGGCGGCTAAGTGGAACATATATAAATTACTCGAGGATCTGTCCAACTGTCCGCGCGTTGATGCTCATAAGGATTTGCTTACGTGGATCTTAACGAAATATCGTGAAATTACTAGCTCAACCGCTGAGAAAGACAGTCCAATGTCTCCTCATTGCGAGCAAACGAGCGACGGCGATACCTCCAGTACACACACTAGCAAGGAGACGGATAAAGAATGGCGAACGAAGATGGCAGCGCAGAAACGCGCCAAGATTATGGCGCAGATGGCTGCTATGCAATATCACTTCATGAAGAAGAATGCCAATCTGTTCGAGGAAGCGATGCTAGACAGCAACAAAGCCAACGATCGTGGATCCGCCATGGATCTGACTGAATCCACATTACAGGAAGAAGGCGCGCCAGTTGCCCTCGGTGCCAGTCAAACCAGCAGGTCGTGCGAGCTAAAGACGTATACTTGCATTCTGTGTCAAGAAGATCAGACTGTAACGGAATCCAGTCCTGCGATGGTAATGGCTGCATTCGTACAGCAGTCCACCGTGCTGTGTCAATTGCAATCCGATTACGTGGAACCGGATGCACTGTTCTTATCCGCCAAGCTCGGTGCGTCGCCGCATACTAGTACATGCGGCCATGTAATGCACTCGGATTGTTGGCAGGAGTATTTTGACAACGTGCTGGCGAAAGAAAACCGTCGACCCTACCGATCGAGACACCCGGCGAGTTTTGACGTAGAGAATCACGAGTACCTTTGCCCGTTGTGCGAATGTCTTAGTAATACCGTTCTTGTGGTCGTACCACCTTTGGGAATGATTCAGTCACCTCCCGAGCGAAAACCGGATATCAGTTTTGACCAATGGATAAGAGTTATGGAACTCACGATAGAATGCAAGCCCAGACAGAGAATCGGTTTGAAAATGGGAGACGGTAAGATCGTCAATCCTATGATTGTTCTCCGCGATGAGATCGAGGAAGCATGGGATGCGTTCGAGACACAGTACTCGAGATCCGCGCCACAACTCGCGCATACAATGGAGAATATGATCCACATGTATGTGGCTTTTGTGCAGACAAAAGGTTTCAATATAGACAGCGATCCAAAAATGCCTTTATTAGCGTGGAAGTCAACAGCTTACACCATTCATGCGATCGAGTTTCTGCTACGCGATATGGAGAAACCGTTATTGGGCGCAATGTCTTCACGGCAAAATGATTGTTTGGAAAATCTGGTGCGTCTGTCGGCTCTTTTAGGAGCGAGTTTTTCGAATCGCACGAACTCCTGGGCGGACCGCGAGCAGATCACCATTTACGCGATGACATTGCTGTCAATAGTTGCTGATGAAGGAGAAAGTGGACACAGTATTTTCGACATTGATCCGTTCGGTTTTCTAGTGTCGCTCATCAACTCGTTACCGAGCATCTTTCAGACGAAAGCTCAAGAAGAGAACGGAAGTCCGCCCGTCATCACCGGTGACGTGTTCGACTCGCACGTGCTGAAACTTGTGTTTCTGTCTCACATAGCGAAGATATTGTTCACGACTGACGTGGTTAACGTTATGGAAGTAGATAGACACGAGGAGACGGATACCGATGAAGCCGATCCAGACTTCGCTCTGTATCATATTCTGGGTATGCGCCTCGACAAAGAGAAAAGCAAAAACGTGTGGCGACAGGTGGAACTCGCTTGTCGGCCGTTTCTTCGTTGTTGTGCTATTTATTTTCATTATGTGTCCGATGTGCCGCCGCGGGAGGAGCTTACGCAGGTGCATGGTGACACGTACGAGAATCTCTGTTTGTATCTAGGACTACCTTCTACCTGTAAATCTCTAATCTATTCGAATTTGGATGTTACCATAAAACTGTTCAAAAAATGGAGAGAACAACCAACTGTTAAGCAGTATCTAAACGGCTACTTGGTTCCGAAAACAATCTTCATGGACTCATTGAAGGTCAAGAAATTAGTGGATCTACCCGACGACTACAGCGATCTCATTAATTCGGTGTCTCAGTTCACGTGCCCGAACAGCGATCGCAGAGAAGATCCGCGCAACCCAACTATGTGCCTGGTTTGTGGCGAAATGTTGTGCTCGCAGAGCTACTGCTGCCAAAAGGAACTGAACAAATTGTCGGTAGGCGCGTGCACGTATCATGCGAGCAAGTGCGGTTACGGCGTCGGTGTGTTTTTGCGAGTGCGTGAATGCGAGATCCTATTTCTGCGCAGTCAGAATCGCGGATCTTTTCTCTGCTCGCCGTATCTCGACGAATACGGCGAAACGGATCAGGGTCTTCGACGCGGCAATCCGTTGCACTTGTGCCACGAGAAATACAAGCAGTTACACCACATATGGTTGAGCCACGGAATTCAAGAGTCTGTGGCTCGCGCTGTCGAACAAACTTCGAACAATCTCATGCCGATTCAGTGGCAACATTTATAACTCTAACCCGTCATTTAGCTCTAAAGAAGAAAATAANAAAAAAAAAAAAAAAAAAAAAAAAAAGTTATGATAAAAAGGAGAGAGACTTTTACGCTTAGCCATAAACAACAAATGTAGCAGCTTAGGTGATTGTGATCGTTAATCGTCCATGTGATTCGATCCGCTGCAACAAGAGATCGATGAAGTTAATTTATTTATTCTAAGAGAATTGAGCTTCACCAAAAAATAACAAAAATTTTGGACGTTGTTTCATCACTTCTCTTCTCTCTCGCTAAATTATAAACGCCGTTTTAGTTGGTTTCACAGTTCACATCAAATTTATATATATTTTTTTTTTTAGATTAGATTCTTAGATTTCAGAGTTAACGGAAGTCTGTTATCTGTTGTGTAATTGTAAACTAAAAAAAAAAAAAAAATTTACAAATTTGTTTATATTTATTAACAAGAATTGTTGCGTCTCGGTATATTTTGTTGTTTTTAAACTGGATCGGATCCGCGATTAAACTCAACGCTCGACCGATTGTTACGTATTATTTACAGTACTTTGCAACGACTCGGGGAATTTTCTACAATAATAATTGTACAAGTGAATAATGGATTTTCAGATTACTTTTGAAAACTTGGAACAACAAGCGAATAATCAAGCTTTATATCATTTGTCGCTGTGTGAAATCTCGTTTAAAAATTTATTCACTTTTCCACGAGAGACATTTATTTGCTTTGTTATTTGGTTTTCTCTCATGGAAAAGCAAGTAGAATGCAGCGCACACGATGATAAGCTCGCGAATTTGCTGAGCGATGCATTGTTATGAATATAAAAGCGTGTGAACAATCGCCAGTTGTTCTAGGTGGACAAGTCTCGCTTTTTTCATTCAGCTCTTTTATCTCTGATTGGGGTGTTAGCTTGAGAGATATATATCCCGATGAAAGTTGTTTTCGCTGCCATAAAACTTGATTGTAAATGTCAAAAACAAACTGTAATGCCATTTAAATGTGCGTTTTGATTTTTGCGATTCTCTCTCACAGAGAGAAAAGACTTCGAAAAAACGCAACGCTTCGAAAAAACGTCAACAATCGCGCGTGATAGACTATTGTAAACTTTGTGAAAGAAATAAAATCTTTGAAAGTAATATGTGTCATAAATGTACGTGCAAGAAATGTTTTTTTTTTTTTTTAACACAAATAATTACGTAATTACACACAAATTAATACACATATTAATTCGAAATAATTTTAATTAACGCTATCCCGCCGGTAGTTTCGGGGGCAGAACTTTACGCGACAACGGGTAAAATTCGCGAGATATCGCAAAAAAACAAACTGCTACGAGTGTTGAACCAATTGAACATTTTTCAATGCAATTTTGTGAGGAAAGTATTAATTTTATTAAGTATCCAATAAGTAAGTTTTCGAATTAAAATTAATTAATGTGTGTATTAATGTGTACACTTTGAAGATCAAATATTTTGCATGTACACTTAGCGCACATAGCTCTCAAATACTTTATTTCTCTCTTAAATGAAAATTAACAGAGTTTTTATTTTGATTATTTGTAAAATTTATGTTTGCTGAAGAAAAAGATTTTTAATATAACAATTAAAATTGAATTAATGCGTGACGTTTGTTTTCTCTTTTGTTGTTAGTCTCTTCGAATAAAACGTCCTGTATGATTTCAGAACGACAATATTTGATTTTTGTCACGCGACAGTTTTGCAAACGAAAAAGTTATGAAATAGTTTTTTTTAAAATATGTTTTCGTATATAAACCTTCATCATTCAGTTGATGATTCATGCGTCCGTGAAACAGTGAAGAAAGAATAAATTTGTAAATAGCTATTGATGAATTTATCAAGAACCTGTAACGATTACACCTGATTGATTTATCAAGATCTATTATACCTGATTATACCTATTGATGAATTTATCAAGAACTGTGTAATCTGTCATTTGTGTATATCATGATCAGCCATAAGAAGACGACTCTGATGGAATACATTTATAGTTTGTCAGCGCGCTGTGGATCTTTATCTTCTTATCACATCATCGAGAGAAACGTATTTATATTTTATGAAAAGATAGATTAACCAAGTTATTGTGTGAAGTATTTGGAAAAGGGAGCAAGGAAAAGAGAGAAAGAGAGAGAGAGAGAGAGAGATTGCTGTGTGTAACACGCAAAAGATGCGCGCGCGAGCGTAACATTTATTACGTTTTGATCGAATATTTGGATTGTTTGAATAAAGTCACACAATGTGTATACCTTGTCCAGTTTTTAGCAATACGCATAAGAGTTTGTGCCGCTGTAATTGCTTATGAGATATATAATTTTATTAATTAGAGCGTTTTAAGTACTTGAGAAGAGTATATGAAGTATATATACTTTTATATACTTATGTACTTATATAATACTTATACGTTATACGATTTGCATATCGTATTTGTTAGGAATAAGAAGGGAAAAGTGTCTCACATGTATAAATAATTAATTCCTTCTATATATTTAGAGATATATATCATACAAAAATGAAATGATCATTTTTTTCTCTAATAGTATAAACTATCCAAAAAAAAAAATTAATCTTGAGAAGTGTTACTTGATGATTGCGCAATTTAAAATATACGCGAGAAGAGAAATTAATTTGAATAAATTTTTATTATTTTTATTTTTATTTTTTTTTTTTTCAATCAATCAATTTCTAATAAAGTACAACAAAACATCGAAATTAATTTTTGATTATGAGAAGATATAAATGATTATGTGTATGTATTTTTAAAATCTAGTATAACAGGTGGTTTTTTGTATATAAATAATATTAGATTAATTTCAGTTTTTCTTTTTTTAGTTAATTTGGAGTAAAAAGTTTAGTTTTTTAACAAATATTGTTTTTAGGAAATTTGATACGCTGTGCTCAACACACACACACACACATTATTTCCTTAATAAATTAAAAGTTTAATAGAAAGTAAAAGATCATGTTTTATTAAAAATATCAAATATAGAAGATTAAAAAGAAATGTTCTTTGTGTATTACCATATATAAACTTTTATCCATATATAAACTTTATATTATATAAATATACAACATTGTATACCAACCATGCAATTAGGTTTTAAAATTCGTTTCATTCATTTTTAATTAAAATTATTAGATTTGCTCTCTGTATATGTATACATATACATATATCTTTCATAATTCATGGCTACATTCCGATATGTCACGCCAGAGAGAAAACTGAGAGCGGCCAGGGCCATACGAAAAACTAATAGCTTTTCCGCTCTGCAAGCCGCTATGTCCACAGGTGGTGCACATTGGCATCTAAAAGTCAAAATAATATTCAGGGAAATAAAACAAATCTTTGGACTCGTGCACGTAGCACAGAAAAACCCACATAGTGGACATACATAGTACGGAATAGAACCACGTTTGGACATACGCACCGACAAGTCGATCGTGGACATGGCCACGTAGTTGTCAATGTGCACCATGTGGACGTAGCGCTGGCTTACAGGGAAAAGATATTACAGTTTTTCATATCGTCCTGGCCGCTCTCAATTTTCTCTCTGCGTTTCCGCTTAACCTCACTGGATTTTGAATTGTTGCTCTCGCCAGATCTCATCAGCTCTCACGTTAAAGCTTTCGGAGAGGTGTCTGTTGCAAAATTACGTTATGATTATCTGACTTAGGTGATAAAGTAATTGAATGCGTCGTTTGAAATTTGGCGAAAGTGAAGAAAGAAAAACAAGAAAATGTTCAAAAAGTATGTGTGTTACATATTGACATATAATTTAACCTATTTCTAATATAGAGAACAATATTTATTAGACAATTGAAATATATGGTTTATGCTAAAAGAAAAGAACTTTCAGCATCTCTTAAGAATGCGAGACAAGAATAACACGTTTCAATAATAAAGTTTCAACACAGATTTAGAAAAAAAATTAAAATTTTATAACAAAACATGATAGTGCGTGTGTGATATATGTATTCATAAATAAAATACTTGTTTCCATTAAATTATTCACGTTTTTATTAAAGAAAAAACAATGTGTTCTTTCATTACCAACACTTTCCCTAGGTTTGATGAGAGAGACAGTATTTCTGGAATTCAACAATTGAAATCGTCTGTTCAAAAAGGAATTCGTTCAAAACTTCTGGAGCTGTATCCTCATCTAGAGAATCATATAGATAATATTATACCAAAGAAAGATGCCTTTCGCATTGTAAAGTGGTAAGTTTTATCTGTGCAAAATTTGTCTAGTGACAACAATACAGTTGTATTTTCAAACATTACTTTTTTTTTTTATCAGCCATGATCACATAGAGATCATAGTAAATGCAGCAGGAGATTTGTTATTCTTCCGTCAACGTGAAGGTCCATGGATGCCCACTTTGAGATTATTACACAAATGTGAGTCTTGTTTGTTGTATTAGTTTATTAAATGGAAAACCAAAATGGAAAAAATTTCATGATAACCGAGACATTTCTTTTTGTGATGTTAAAAATTCCCAAATGTTTTCAGATCCATTCTTTTTACCAATGCAACAAGTTGACAAGGGTGCGATTAGGTTTGTTCTTAGTGGTGCAAATATAATGTGTCCTGGTTTGACGTCAAAAGGTGCTAGAATGATGACAGTTGAGAAGGGAAAAGTCGTTGTATCCTTTAATGTGAATCTTTCAGATATTGATAGTATGATTTACTATGCAGTTTGATTTGGTCAAGATATATTTAAACTTTAACTCAAAAGAGATATGTGTAGGCTGTTATGGCAGAAGGCAAGCAACATGCATTAGCCATTGGCATAACAACTTTGTCGACGGAAGACATGTAAGTCGAAATGATTTTCTTGATGTTCACTTGTAATCACATATACTTCTTTTAACGTATATGCATTATAATAATTAAAATTTTCCAATTTTGCAGTTTAAAAGTGAACAAAGGAGTAGGAATAGAAAACTGCCACTATTTAAATGATGGACTTTGGCAAATGAAACCGGTAAAATAATATTGACGATTAAAAGAAGATAGAATGAGAAAATCTTTCTGCATACAACATTCTCATTTTACCTCGCAACGCAACAAAGGTCCAATTATTGTTATTATGTGAAACGTAACAAACACGCGTGTCCGTAGTGTTGCAGGCCATAATATAATTAAGGATTACTATTGCGTATTGAATTTTTATTGTGTATTTAATGAAAGATTACTTTGAAAGTATATTTGATGATATAATGTAAGAGTAAACAGAGATAGTCTCAAAATACACGCGTGTGTAAAATATGCTACTTAATAAATCATCAGATGAAACTTAAGCTGGTCCCGACTTAGCGTCTACTTGACCCTCTTGATTCTCTGTAGGACCGGAGCGTTCGTTCTCGCAATGTCCTGCGGGTGAAGAGTAGGAAGCAGGATTGTTAGCTTCAGGAGCCGCTGCAGAAGCAGCAGCAGCAGCGGCAGCTGCTGCTGCTGCTGCCGCTGCCGCTGAACCGCTAGGAACATTAGCATTGGCGTTGCTACTCTCAGGAGGGACTGTATGGGGTGATTGAGGATGATAATGAGGACTGTGAGGACTGTGAGGACCGTGACCATGAGGACGACCCATTGGATGAGGCGGATACTGAGAATACGGCTGATGATAGTACGGATGAGCATACTGATAAGGTTGATGATACGGTTGTTGCTGAGAATAACTGTAAGTGGGATGTGGCGGTCGTGGAGCAAGTGGCACGTTCTGAGGCTGCTGCGGACCAGGCGCGGACTGATATTGCTGACCATACGCTTGATTAGGTGGCATCATCTGCGGTGTATGCGGATTTGTTACTGGTCCCTGTGGTGGTAATACTTGCGGCGCACCCGAAGAAGGTCCTTGTGCTGTCGCTGCCTGATGCGGCGGCATCGAATGATTCGGTAACATTCCTTGCTGATGAGGATTATGCTGTTGAATCGGCAGCACCGATGCGGATACGAGTGGCATACCACTTGACGGCGGTGGTGGCGGCGGCGGTGTAGAATTCGCGGTCGCATTTGCGCTCGCGACTACTGCTGCGACTGCAGCCGCAGCGGCGGATGTCGTAGTTGGTTGTTGTTGTTGCGGCGGTAGTACCTGTGTTGCCATTGGTGATTGTTGTTGTGGCTGTGACGATAACTGTTGTTGTTGTTGTTGTTGTTGTTGTTGTTGTTGCTGCTGCTGTTGTTGTTGTTGTTGTTGTTGTTGCTGCTGCTGCTGCTGCTGCTGCTGCTGTTGTTGTTGTTGTTGTTGTTGTTGTTGNTGTTGTTGTTGTTGCTGCTGCTGCTGCTGCTGCTGCTGCTGTTGTTGTTGTTGTTGTTGTTGTTGTTGTTGCTGCTGCTGCTGCTGCTGCTGCTGTTGAGACGGCGGTTGTGGTGGCGCCTGATGCTGCGGTGGCGGTGGCTGATGCTGTTGAGGAGGCGGCAGTTGATGCTGCTGCGCCGGCGGAGGTGGCTGATGCGGTGATTGCTGAGGTGGTTGCGAAGGTTGATGCTGCGGCGGCGTAGGTGGAGGATGTTGAGATGTTTGCGTCTGTTGCTGATGCGGATGTTGTTGAATCGGATTCACCATGTTGTTGCAGTACATTCCAGGAGGATGCTGTTGCTGATTGATGTTTGCGTGTATAGCTGATGGTGGCTCTGGTTTGCTCTCGTTATACGGAGGCGACATCTTCTTGTTCATTTCAACATTGGATTTATCAGTACCACCAGATTTTTTCTCGATCGAGTCGTTGTCAGAAACCTAAATAAAAATTGAATAATTCTTTTAAAAGATATCGGTGTATAATATTTATATAAATGCTATTCATTATTATTACATCAGGTTGAGTTTCGTCATTAAGCGATGCAGGAGTTGGGGTTGGAGTGGAATTCGGAGTAGATTCGCTAGACGCTGGTCCGTCCGAACGATTCTCCTCTATTCCTTTTAATCTTTCTCGTCTGAGAGCTTCGTATTGCCGTTCCACCATTTTGTTAAATGTCTCCTCATCAACTGCTGGTTTACAGTGCTGCAAGAGAAAACAATTATACAGATTCTACAACATTCTATTCAAATTCAGATTTAAAGAGTTTTTATTGTACCTTCTTTAATTCTTCTTGGAATATTTCGCTAGTTTCTATGAATTTGCGTTTCTTTGCTTCGAATTTTTCCTCAATTTGTTGCAATTCTGCTTCAAGCTTTTTCTGTAAAATATACAAGAGTACAATTTAGTTTATGATGAAACACGAAAAACACAAAACAATTACACGCGTTTATCACATACCTGATGCATCGTTAAAGATTGTACTTGACGGCGTAAAACCTGCATTCTTTGAGTTGTAACTACAGAACGTACATCTGGAACAACGGTGTCGCTAAAGATTTCATTAATCAGTCGATGGTTTCTCGTGTAACGCGAATATGCTACATGTTTCACAGAATATCCATCATCTTGATCTGTAAAATTAAACAGAAATTATATATATATAACATGTAAAAAAACGTTATTTGTAATATTTACTATTATTCATATTACCATCATCATCTTCAGCTGGTAAAATATCAATTCTTCTGTCTTGAGCGGCTTGACTCTTACTGCTGCCGGATGAACGTTCATGACTTTCTCGATCATCATTGTTTTGTTGTGCTGCACATAATGCTGCATGACACAATAAAAAAATATTAATATAAAAATTATATTTTACATTACATCATATAACATAACATTACATTTATAATATAAAATACTTTTACCCTCACTTTTTATCATAAATCTTGAAATTATCCATTTATTATAAATTATTTATATTTACCAGATTTTCCTCGATTCTTGGCTGCTATGTAAGCTAAATATGCAGGTGAATTGTGATAGGTTTTTAAACTTTTTTCATATTCCACCTGTATCAAGTAAAAAGAAATAAATACACACATGTATGAGTTAACAAATTCAAATAAAAAAATGTATATAGGAAGACTCATATATGTATACCTTCTCAGCCTCATATTCCTCAATAAACTCCGTCTTATCTTCTTCTGGCAAATCTCTCCACATTTGCCCAATGATCTTTCCTATCTCCCATAACTTTAATTCTGGATTCTGAGCTTTTACCTGATCCCATACTTTTCTGCTATATCTCATATATGGCATAAGAGGCTTCTCTGGTGGTTTAGGTGGTTTTGGCATACGAGAGTCAGCCTAATAAAAAAAAAAAAAACATCTAGTGTAAGTGAAATAAAACTTTTTGACAAGATAAATTATATATAGAATACTGTACGATTAAACAAATAATATATTTAACATAATTCTATCTTTTATAAATGCACATACATTAGTATTTTTCCCAACTTTCTGAGGTGTAAAACCTGGATGGCTATGGGGAGTTTGTATAAATGGATTCTGTGTATCTTTCTAAAAATTAAGAAAACACATCATTAGAGTTATAAATAGCAATTAAAACACAATCTTACAATAATAAATGTTCACTCACACTATTTGTTGAACTACTTGAACTCCCACCAGAAGCTCTTATACGTTCTGTAGCAATTATAAAATAAGTGTCAAGTTTATCTCTATAAAGTTACATTGTATCACGTAGAGTAAAAAATAAATAAAAAATGTACTTACGGTTCGACGCTACAATATTTGAAGTAGCCATTGCAACTTGTTTGTAATTAGTTGGCAAAGCCATTTTGTATTATGTTCGGATGAGTCGTTTTATTAAGAATATAGCGAGGTTAGCAACTAAATCTCGATACCGATCACGTCTCTGCTTTGATGTCTCTGCTGATTTCAGAAAATTTTTGTTGTGTTTAACCTGAAAAGATGAAACACGATGCAACAAAACCTACTTCACAACGAGCTCGAACGACCGATGGGCGTCGCAAAAAATTACACATACGTCGATGTTCGAGTTTCATTGTACAATATTGAAAATAATGTCAAAAGAATCACAAGTCCAGCTACAACTATCGAATAATTCAGTGAAAATACAAATATTTTGACATTTATTCTGAAAATCACCAAAATACTCAAGTAAACATATGTATGTATGCAGCACAGTAATGCATGCATACTACATACGTATATAGGGTTCTTGCTTGCCCGTTGACTCAACTGTTTATTGGTCAGTGTAGTGGAACTAAGATGGCGGCCAGGAAATGTGACGCGTGTCGACCAATGATAATAGACATTTGATTGGCACGAGCCGGCTTCTTCCGTCGATCGCGATTGGTCGATGTTGAAACGAGTATGCGAAATTTCTGAGCTGGATATTTCTGACAACGAGCTTTGACATATCGTTGTTATTTTGCATATATGTAGGTATATGTATACATTTATATAATATGTGGTTTTATATATATATATATATATATATATATATNATATATATTTATTTATTTCTAATTAAATATTACATTTAAAGATTTTAAGGAAAAGTCAATAATATTGAGAAGCTATGGTTATTCAAAGTGCTATGTCATAAGATGTTTGGCACTTTCTTTATAAACTGGATTCTATTTTTTCTAAATGCAATAACAAAGATCGGCAATATTGGTAACATGTCTCTCAGAAATATTAAGAGGTTATCAGATAAGCAAATTGTGTATGCATCCAGATCATACAGCAATATTGTTAAAATTCTACAAAAATTTGAAGTTTTATAAAATATATCATTCTTGATAGAATAATTTTATTAAATTTGTACAGTGAGATATATGTTTCTTCACTGTTACATAGGTACAGTGTTTTTGATCCTTATTTAATTTGCTAAAAAAAAAAGTTCTCTTTTCTGCTTAATGTAAGATTTCTAATTTAATATAATGTCATTAATATGTTCAAAAACTCTGTACTGTTTTTCAAATTTGTGTTGTGATGAATATTGTGATGACGTATTTGTATGGTTTACTCATGAGGAATTTAATTTGTATATAATATGTCATAGATTGGTTTTGGCAGGTAATGGTTGCATAATGCTTGCATTCTTTCACTGCGCGATACAGGTGTATATCGTCGCATTGGAAAAGTTTTTACTACAGAGTCCGTCAAAGTTCTTGTAACAGCAGTCAGATCTGCTTCTGGTCCCTGTGTATATTTTTCCAGGGCCAACATTTCCGCCTGAAACAGTTGTTGACCATATTCCTTGCGAGTCTGTGGATCCAATTGAGTCCACATGTCTCTTGCTTGTTCCAACAAGGCGGCATTATTTTTCAGCCACGCGTTACCGGACACATATTCGCCGGTTTCAACGATCACGACGTCTACTCCCCATCTTCGCATCTCTAGTCTCAGGCAAGATCCCCAGGCTTCTACAGCAGCCTAAGACATATTTATAATCTTCTGTATTGATCCGCTCAAGCTTCTTTATTAATACTTCCAGTTTCATAGACAGATATATTAGCTGCAATGTAATCAGTATGGAAGGTTTACCTTAAGCGCGCAGTAAATGCCTCGAACGGGACTCGGTATCCGTGCCAGAAGGCTGCTCACAAGAACAATTCGACCCTTTGACCTCCTGACCAAAGGTAGAAAAACCTATCGGATAGTTGCGTATTACGTCATGAAGTTTCTTATCTTCTGACATTTGTATAACGCTTGAAATACCTGAGTCAAACGCGCCAGGCCGACAAAGTTGATGTCTATACTTCGTTTAAGGACAGATGGGGGCACCCACTCGCATTCTCCGAGCGTCACCCAAGCGGCGGCATGCACGAGTGCCCATAGTCCTGAAAATAACATAGTAATGACGTAGAGATAATCCGTTACAAAACAGATTTATAACATGACGCTTTAAAAGATAGAACGATATAAACCCGGAGCTCCATCGGGTAGATTTTCGTTCACATATAGAAAGCACGAGTGTATGTCACGTTCGCTTGTAACATCTAACTGTAGCACGTGCAATCTTCCGGATGCGTCGTCTTTCAATTTCTGCATAATCTCTTCGTTCTCAGCTTTATTGGTGAACCCAGCAAATACGGTAAAACCCTGAAAAAAAAAAAGAAGCTGCACATATTGTTTTTTAAATTATTCAATTCTAACATATTCCACGCGTTTCTTGCATTACCAGATCATCCAGTTGTTTAGCCAGAGCATATCCAACTCGGGAATCGCAACCTGTGATTAGCACTGCTTTTCCTGCTGCAGTAACCTGTTGCATCAAAATGATTATGCATGCTTGAAAACACAATGTTTCTTATTGAATTATGATCCGATAGCGGAACTTTGCAATCCTTCAAAGCCACTCAACAAGAAATAAAAGTCTCAAAGCCTTTTGTAAAAAGGTGTGAAAAAAGTATAAACATGATAGATGCATTATGCACTAATCGTGTGAAAAAAGTTCAAAGGTCTTGATCAGGCCTGATGCGAAAATATATAAAAACTCAATCACAAAGGGCGTTTGAACTTTTCAAATATCCGCGAGTGTTTGACATTATAAAAGGTTCAGGAAGATATGATTTTGTCAAAGGAATTCAAGATATAAATTTAATTTATAGGTCAGAGAATGGTGGTATAAAATCTTGTTTGTTCGACTGTATAAATTGGTTTTTTTTTTTTTTTAATATTATTACGAAATAGAAAACTGTAATTGAGAAAAAAGAGAAAAAGGAAAATGAATTTTCTGTTGTATATAATTTGAGAAAAAGTAACAATGTAAATTTTACCTTCAGATTGTGATAGAATAACGTAGATCCTACAGATATGACCAATAGTAATAGGAAGAGCATAAAGCTAGATGTTTGTGAAATCCCAAAAATGTTCAATATCGTTGCCAGGATGACTGCAATCGCATGTGAGAATGCTATGGGTAGCAGACATCTCTCTGCTAACTCCCATGTTTGGCTGTCGTCGGGATCTTTATTTCCACTCGATGATGGCATTCTTTTATCCAAATTTTATAATCAAAATCTTAGCCAAATCATCCGAATAGATTCCGCGTTTCACCTAAGAGCCCTAACTGGGCTATGTCTGAGCTAACTTTAAACTTAAAACAGTGTCCAGTGTCATTTGATCTAAATTTAACTACAGTGCTGTGTTCTAAGTTAAAAGATCCTGGCAAATTGCGATGTTTCAGAAAAATTTATACATTTCTATAATTGTGATATATTCCTTATATTTATGTATAACATTTATTAATACCAATAACAATTTAAATTTAACTTATTGCATACAGATATTTCCTACAGAATAGATTATAATATAATAAATGTGTATAGTGAATATATATATATTATACAATATATACATAAATGTTTATTGTACATGTTATGTAATAAAATTATAACACACGCAAGATAATAAACAGAGAAAACATTTTTATATATTTATATATTTTTGTGTTTACAAAAAGTTACAATTTGTATATTTTTAAAATATTGTGTAATATACATATGTATTACATAATAAATAATAAATAAATGATATATGATTGTTTTGTATGTTTTTTCATCGTTATCGTAAACTTTTAATTTAATTATTTCAATAATAAATAGAAAACAATCTAATTTTATAAAACGTTCAAATGTAATAAAACACGTTGATTTGGTTCAATTTTGTGTCTAGGTCAGTTTTATTAATTCAGCTTTATGCAATTTAGTAACTAAATATTGCAGAGTCATATTTTTGCTCTCAAGTTCAGACAAAGAGATCAATAGGGGCACGTGCCGCGAATTATCTCCGCTGTTTTTATGTGCGCGTACATCCGGAGGTCATCTTCTCCATTGACAATGCACATGTATTTTTGTAAATTTCTCGGCTCGCAAAGTTAATAAAAAAAAAAAAAAAAAAAAAAAATGTGCAATCATTTGTGCGCGCGGAGTGGGGTGGATTATTGATTTCTGTGTTGCCGCGGTAGGGAGTTGGATAGATAGACACGTAAGAGTAAGTCGGTAGGGTGGATACTGAGTCGGGGTGTCTCTTGCGCGCATATACCTGCGGGAGAGTCTACAAGGGGTATAAATAGAAGGGGTAGTTGCACCGTTGACCCAGTGTTGGGTTGACATACGGTCAGTTCAGTCACTCGAGACATCACACACATATACACATACATACACTTATTTTCTTTCTTTCTCTCTCTTTTTCTCTCTCTCTCTCTTTCTGTATCTGTCGCGCCGCACAATTGCCACCGCCTTCCACTGATCTTTTTATCTGTGTGAATTGCTGTGAACGCTACACATAAATAACCCGTTTTCAACTCAAGTTCTCATTTAATCAGGTCGAACCAACGCTACCCCGAGTACTGCCCCCTTTCATACTCGCTCCTGTTTCTTCCGAGCGAACATTTTGTTATCCAGAGAGGACCACCACAGCGTTACGCCTACCACATCATCGACGGGATAGATTTATCAATCGACGTTAAAAAAAAAAAAAAAAAGAAGAAGAAGAATACACCTGTACATCGTGTTCACACTGTGTAACAGTGTTTGTTATCTATCGCGCAAGGGCGTATTCCCTCTTCACCTGGTGTCATTATTGGACGCGCGAATTATTCAAAACTCTTTCCGACACATCGTCGAAGCACCGACCAACTAATGTGCAACGAGAATCAGGCCTTAGCAGTCAATTTTCGCCGAGAAAGTAAATTCTTTCTGACTTAGACGGTTGTGCTTTATTGTCTTTTGTGGGCGTCGAATATTGTGATACAATTTAGTTGATTGTTTGCGACCAGCAAAGTTAACATTCTGCTCTCGCTAATTGCTCGTGAGAAAAAATATGTCAGAGACACAAGGAATCACGCAAGCAATGGGCAATCCTTACAAAATAGTTGATCATACCAGAGAACGAAGAAAGGGCATCACCGCTTCATCGCTTAAGGAGCTGACCAATATTGCGCGCAATCGTCTGGCCCTGCCTGTTGACGCGGATCTGACGATCGTGCTCGAACAGGATGGTAAGATAACATTCGCATATACTATCTAGTATCATTGAAATACATGTACATGTATACGTAGTTGTTAATTTATGTATTACATCATTATAAAAACATTTGTACGTTATAAAAACTAATTAGCAACTTTTACAAACATCTTTATTGTAAATAAAATCGCCTCCTTATGTTGGTAAACATTAATTTTACATACAGGAACCGAAGTAGACGATGAAGAATATTTTGCCACGCTAGAAAGAAATACGAGTTTGATGGTACTGCATGGAGATCAAAAGTGGATTGCTGCCGGAAGCAGTAAGGCGTCTCGTTATATCGTTGTGGACGACGTGGACAATGTGGAGGGCAGTTCACGAACTGATAAAATTCGACGACGAACACCCATTGAGCCTTTGGTGTCGTCATTGCACGGCGATCCGTCGCATATCTCGCTACTTGGGGGAAACGACTTGGAATTACTCAGCGACATGGATCCTGATAGTTTAGCTGATATAGTGCCTGATAGGTAAGTGTGATAAGCAATCACGGTATATTATTGCATAACTTTATCTTGAAAAAACAGTATTATAAGTTAAATGTTTTCTGATATCGTTTCAGACTTTTCCTCGAACAACTGAAGGAAGCTTCAGGTAGATTCCTGGCGGAGAAGCGACAGGCGCAAGAATCCATGGCTCTTCTTCAAATGTACGCAAGTGGTGGTGAGATGGAGCGAGCGTAGGCCATGTGGGGGGTGGGCGCCCTCACATTGGCCAATATGTATAGAGTGCGACGTCGCATATTCTACAAAGGTCGCCAACTGCAACAGACTTTGATCCTGTTCTGGAATTGAGCCCATCTTCATTTAAACAATAACAGAGTAACTGAGAATACACAAGCATTAGCTTGGAGAATCTGGAGAACAAGTTCGCAGAAACAAGTATACTGTACAGAGATGACACGAGAGAGTAGCTAACATGGTTTGTTCGACAATTTAGCATATTAATGCACAGATTCCGTCTTATATATAGTTGACGTAGCAATTCTGTTTTTTTCTTTTTTTTTTTTTTTTTTGGTAGAATTTTTTAATCTATAACATATATCTATGTACACACACAACATGATATTTTCAGTGGCACAACTATGCTTTGGCAATATACTTTACATCCTTTTAGTGAACGTACGGAATTGCTTTACATAACGTAAGATACGTTGCTAATACTGAAATTATATATATAATATATATAATTTATATATATTGTATATATAAATTGCGCATATATACATGTATATATATGCATGAGCAAGTTAGCTATTAACTTATCTTCTGGATATACACAAAGAGAGAAGCTGCACAAGTAGCATCTTAAAGTGGATATTCTGTCGCAATGTCGCCATATCAAATCGCAGCGGGACGTGTTTTGTTCGTGGAATTTTTGTACTTAGATACGTCATATACCGAGATTTAGTTCAACGAAGATCGATGGAATATTTAAGACTGAATTTATAGCGAAAAAAAAAACCGAAAAAGCCCTCATTCAAATCACCAATTCATTGTACACTAACATTAGTGACGTAATAGCGACGATAAAACAAAAAAAAAACCAAAAAAAAAAAAAAAGAATCGATATCAGCCCTTTGATACCAAGCAAAGTTGTGCATTTGATAAAGAAAATCGATGAAACTTGCAGAAAAGAAAGAAAATAGGACAGGTGTTTCTGACAAGACTACGCATACATGTAAGCTATGTATAGGTACTAAATAATTACCAAGTTTACAATTGTGTACCAACAAGCAATGTCGCATTTATATTCATTTATGTAATTCTCAAGTTACAAAGTACGAAGTAACGCAATATACATATTTACACAATACATTTTCTAAAACCGACATAACGAAAGTGTATGTCTACTCTCTGCAGAAATGCTCTGTTTCAATATCGTACTGTTCTTTGATAATGTATATCTGTAAAACATGATTACTCCTCTATGTGAACTGCATTATGCATATTTATATTAGAAAGTCATAATACCATCGCATTTAAATCATCGACATAATTTTGAAATGGAAAAAAAAAAAAAAAAAAAAAAAAACGTAAGGATCAGTATAGGACTGATTGCTATCTATCTTCTAAATCAAATGTCGTTAAAATCCGATACAACACATATATTTAGTTTCGCAAATTAATCATAAGGTATTAGTTTATAATGAATTGACGTGATTGATACCTTTTCTCGAGATAAAGTAAAATTATGCTAGAGAAGAAAAAAAAACATACAAAAGAAGACACATCAAATAGTACTGCCAAACAAAGATCAATCAATGCTCAACAACGCGTTCCCGATTATAATGAGAACGTGCGATGTTTTTTTTTTTTTTTAAATATTCGCATCTAATGCGCGGTATATCACAAGGATGGCATTATATACTAATACACGTACTCTCTCATCGCTACCGAGTATATCTTAGAGATATTAATAAGCACTAATAAGTTTTAAAAGTTAAGTTTTAATGGAATGCAGGAAATTGTCGTCTATGAGTTGACGTAGAGCGTTGGAGGTGTCTTTTACTCGAGTAGACGCATTGCGCAACTGACACACAGCCTCCTGTAACACCAGCTCACTTCTCAGCAACTGTCGATTAACAGCTGATAATTCTTGCACGTTGGTTGCGATTACGCCCTCGGTCACTTGCAGAATGTTTCTGTCCAAAGTTTCATTGCATTCGTCTGTTCGAGTTTTAACGTATGTGTCAATTTAAATAACGTTCAATATTAACGGACAATTATATGTATATCAATTTTTTTTTTCAAATTTTGAAATATAATTTATTGTTTGTTTCACAAGTGGCTGTTTTTATAAGAAATGAATATGTAAGAATTTATTTGTACAACATAAAATCAGATAAATATTATCAGATAAATATTATACACTTGTGCAACTGAGTTTTAGATGCAGAAATTAAGTTAGGCAAAACATATGTAAAAATCACTGAAAGATATTAAGTTATGTATATTCTACACACAGCAGTCTCATATAATACTGTTTAGCTATAGTTGCACATTGTACTGCTATAACATTAATAAAAGAATGTTGACAAAAACTATCACTTTTTTGTAAAAATATTTTGTTGATAATAGCAATGAAAAAACTTTCTCTAAAAATGTAAATTTTTATGTACATGTACACACACACACACATGCACATAATTAATTAAAAAACAAATTATATGCAGATGTTTCTCAAATTGTATATATTATATTATCAAACTAAATTTCAAATTATTTATATCAAACTCACAAGTTACTCACGTAATTTTTTGTGAAGTAAACTGTTATACTTGATAGAACTTTTTTTAGATTTTGGTATTTTAAGATCTGTGTATGGAGGGCATGCCATGGCATCTACCGCCCCACTAACACTACTCAAACTTGTTAGATCTAAAAGAAAAAAAACATATATATTTTCATGTATTAAAAAATAAAAATAAATCAATGCATAAACTTACTTACCATCATCGGATTCTGGTGCTTCACCTGAGATAATAGTACCACAGTAAGTTGATGGTGTTCTTGTGGTAGGAAATCCTAAGCCCTGTATACAAATACAGAATGTTATAAATAATAAACTACTTTCTTTTTGCATTATATACAAATTGTATAAGTGCAAAGTATGATTTTACAAAATGTTCCAAGCATGTATATGAAAGGTTTAACATAGAAATGATTACTATTTTATAAATAAAGACGTAATATATATATATATAACACATACAGTAACAATACTTCCATCATCATCAGACTCTGGAGCTTCCCCAGAAACAACAACAGCTTTCAAATCCATTTTTTTTTTTAATACGCAATATTTATCATAGGATTTTCATGCACTGCAATAGAAGATGCAATAATAAAAAAAAAATATGCAGTTAAAATTTGATATTGCGTTATAATATTCACTGTAGCTTTACAATTGACTTGTAGTAGTTTATTTATTTTGACCTCACCGGAACTTCTGATGAAATTTATTAAATATACAACAACGCGTTTTTACCCGAACAAAAATCTGCGGCGGAAAAATGTGTGTGTGCGGCGATCTGCTCCGCGAAATAATTACTTAATTAAAAATACTGACTTTGAAGGTTAGCTTAACCTGTCATGTTGATAAAACAACACGATCACGCACTTGTGCGTGTAGTCACATGCGCGCGGAGTGCAATGGCTTCTTTACAAACGCGGCGCGTCAAATGTCAATGTAATTTATTTGTTTAATAACACCATGTCAGTTCAGTTTAAAAAAGTTAACAACGAGAAATGTATCGTATTCGATTACATTTCCCGGTATGTTTTTGTATTTCCGCGCTAATGACAGCCCCGTGTGACGTCACGTCCGATATATAAAAGAATCGTTTAACACTTTTCGCAGAGTTCAATTCTGAGATGTGGAAAAAGAACAAATCTCTCTCTTATGTTTCAAAATTGCTTGCTGTCAATTTGCTGTGGGTATTTTGAAAAAATCTATGGTTCACGTTACGTATATCATGCATATGTATGTATAATTATTTTCAGTACTGACAGTGAATTTTGAAGTACAGATTTATGTATATATGTGTTTATGTACATTTATTCCGCGTACATATACATATATTGTATGCATGTATCGTATAGTTATATATATATAACAAATAAAACTCCCAATTCCAACCTCAATAAAGTCCGAGGGTACGAAGTACAATGTCTGCTGTCGCGTCCCGTAATCGCGTTTAAAAGCTTAACGCTAATAATTCACTAAAGAATCTCAGGCTTGCCACAAACTTGGAATCCGCGTGGAAACGAGGATTCCCATGTCGACAGCAAAGTGACGTATGTGAAATTGTAATGATTGTGAGCCCGAACGGGAGCAGTGAGCTCGCAGAGCACGTCGCCAGTTAGAAATGATGAATTGCAATGGGGGATCGTCCGTGGCTGGTGAAGCACGCAAAGCGATCGCTTCCATGGACAGCAAACCGATCGTCACCTGTGAGTGAAGTTACCACGGTCACTTGTTACCTTAACCTCTCGTTATGTAGATAACATTGCTGTCACTTGCCTGCTGTCATTGACGCCGCCCTCGACTGTTCGTGAATTTCCAACGTGACAGTTTTTTCTTTCTCTTATCTGTTTGCAATAATTAATGTCCGCTATTTAGATAAAACTCGCCAAGTCAAACAATATATTTTCCAATACTTACACCTAGTCATTAAAAAGTTTGAAAACTTTTTTTTTTAAAAAAACATGTTTTATGTCGCACAGTTTTGACACTTAAAAAAAAAGTACATTGTATATGGAGATTATTTTCAATAAAATTAAATACATTTTGTGCGTAATTGACTCTGTATTTTTTATCTTTATTATATATGATATATAGTATATTTTTACTACAAAAAAAGGAACACAACAAAAATATAAATATTTAAGGTGTGTGTAAGATAGAAATGCAATAATTTTGTTGTGATATAATATATAGGTGCTGGAGATGAAAATTTATTTTCTACATTGGAAAAGAGTTTACTTCAGGCTATACCTGCGGATGCAGTTGAATGGCGTAGATCTTTTAGTAGGCCAATTAAACAAGTCAAACTTGGGGCTACTTTTGTGCCATTTTCTAGAGATATTCTGCCTACTGAGAAAGATTGGCATCTCATAAAACAACCAATCTTTCATATTTATTGGACTGAATGTTCTGTAAGTTTAGAGAAATTCTAACATTTTGGCTTCTCATTTATAATAAGAAACTAAAAATATTTATATATTTAGAGATATTTGGTTTTATTTATGATCTTAATAAATTTGATAATAATGATGTTAATATAATATGTAAATGTGGTTTTTTTTCCAGGATGTTGATACTTATAAAACTAGTGTCAGAGATAATATTGATGCATGGTTAAAGATATTAAATTTATATCACATCCAAGATTGGATGATTGTTTTAGTTGAAACATATGATATAAAGAAAGCCAATAAACTATTGCCTAGGACTACCGTTTTGGATAAAATTCGGGGTGACTTTGCTGCCAAAAATGGTGACAGGTAATTACAACTATAATATATAATAAAAGTTTTCACATCTATCTAATTTTAATGCACAAAAAAAAAAACAGTATTTATATGTTTAAACACATAATTGTCACAGATGTTTTGCCGTAATTAATCCAATTAAATCAGAATCTCGTTCTGCTGAATCATGGAGGGGATTAATAACACGTATTCGTCATTTGATGTTAACTGCTTATGACAGAACTCTTTCACGTTTTGAAGATATTATACGGGAACAGAGAGAAAGACGAAATAATCCTAATTGGAATTTCTGTCATTATTTTCTTTTACAGGTATTCTATGATTTGTGTCATTAGTTTTAATTTTATTATAATATATAGTAGTACAATACGATAGTATAAAATTATCTGAAAAAATTTATACTTTTTCTAACTTTTGGAAGATGTATTTTTTTTATTTACAAACTTAAATTGATGTTTTAGGAAGAATTAGCATTTGCATTGCAAATGCTAGGTTTGTATGATGAGGCATTGGTGCAATATGATGAACTAGACGCTCTCTTTACACAGTTTGTGCTCAATTCTAATGTAGGAGGTATGACGATTTCTTTTTAAAAGTCAACTTAAAGAGTAAAGACATACGTCACACAATGAAGAAAGATATTGATACTAGATGAAAACCTAAAAATAGCTAACTTTTCTCTAGAAACTCCGGGATGGTTAGGTCTGTTTCAAATGCCTCTCAATAATTGGGGAGGTGTGAATTTAAATAATGGTACAAACCATCATTTAAGATTTCTGTTGGCCGAGTGTAGGGCATCTTTATTAGATCTTAGGAGTTACTTATTTAGTAGACAATGTGCCATGCTACTTTTGCTTAATAAACCTTGGGAGGTTTGTACAACTTTAATTACTAATATTTTTGTATTACAATTATCTCATTTCGAGATTATTGTTGAATATAATTGTTATTTTCATAGGTTGCGCAAAGGTGTTTATCTTTCGTTCATAATACAATCAGCGAGCTAAAAATCTTAGAGATACAGAAACCAGAAGGATCTATAGAATGCTGGTCATTCCTCTGTGCATTAGAGGTCTTACAAGCGTGCCAATTGTCTATTTACAACGTTGATAATAATCAACTGTTAGATTTGTGCTCATTACATACAGCCAGTTTGTGGGCACTTGCAAGAGACAAGGTAAATAATTTGATTTGTTACGTTATGAAGTAAGTATTTTTGATTATATCTTTATCTATGTTTTGCTATATAATTTTTTCAATTATATATATATATATATATATATGTGTGTGTATAATTATATACATATCTTTTTAGTTAGGAAATTTGGGCAAATTATGTGGTCTAATGCCAGGAAGTGAACCAACAAGTGAACAGTTGCACACGGTTGTGTATCTTATAGCAGGCATAGGAGACTCAGAACCTCAGGAAGAGGGAAAATTGACTCCTACAGACAAGCTAAAAGAAGCACTTTCATCCAAAGAAGCATTTAAAAAACAGTATCTAGAACACGCGGAGTTAGCCATGGGTACATATAAGCACGTCGGTCGCATTCGATCAGCCAGACTGATTGGCAAAGAATTGGCGCGATTCTATAGCGAACTCGGAGAAAATCAGAAAGCTGTTGCATTCTTGTCCGATGCTTTAAAAACTTATATGGATGAAGGATGGAATCATTTAGCCGCGCAAACACAATTAGAATTAGCTCAATGTTACAAACGTATGGACGATGTTGAGAAATACGTCAAAGTGTGCGCCGCGATAGCCTGTACAAACATTTTGCACATAACTGTACGTAATACATACTTGGAAGAAATGTTGGGATACATGAAAATGATCTCTTCGCTTCAGCCATTGCTCACAGAATTTGGATATGCTTTTATAATACTCAGTATGGAAGTTAGAGTAATGGACAAGATAGTACAAGACTGCATAGTTAGTGTTGAGATCAGTGTGCGGAGTTTGTTCCCTCGAGAAATTAAATGCACTGGTGCAGCTATTTCTGTAGAGGAGATACAGAAGCCGTCTGTACCTAATAAAAAAAAGGGACTGAAAGCACCGCCTGTTGAGCCGCCGATACAGTTGTAAGTACGAAATGAAAGAGAAAAGATAATCTTCTCTTGCGAAGAAATCTATGCTTATGTATAGATTACACGGCAATGAATCGGTTCTGTGAGAGGAAAAGGTTTTTGTTCTGCTCTTTTTGTTCTGCGATGCACAGATAAGGGAAATCTCTTTTCTCATCTTCCTGCAATTGCAGAACCGATTCATTGTCGTAGTATGTACAATTCGTAATATTTTGACAAAAAGAAAATTTATAAAATATGTGTTTCTTTATATTATAATCTTTTAACACAAAAAATTATAATAATCGCAATAATTGTAATAATAATTGTAACAATTGTAATAATTATGGCGTTAGTCACATAGCTTATTTTGTGTGTATTAAACTTTTGATTTATTTTGTTTTTCAGATTGCCGAAGTGTACTTTAGAAGATATGAAACCACTTGATCCTAGTTTGTTACATCTCCAAATATATTCTTACTTGGATTATAAGGAAGATAAGAGTCTTGGTTCCGCCAGTGTTGTTAACAAAACTACAAAACCGCTTATAAGACGTTCAGATAGCGCAAAACATCGAAAACCTTCGGTTAACGCAAAGGGCGATTTCAGCAAAGCGCTCTCATGTGACGGATTTCTTATGAAACCTGGTGTAAATACATTTACATTGACAAGACGAGTGAGTCAACCGGCTTTATACAAAGTTAGCCAGTTGTCATTGGTGATAGAAGAAAAATTAGATTTTTTGACACCCGTACTGAATCCACGGTTATGCTACGAAGTAGCGAAAACACAGCCAACGATATCCGTAAATTGCGGCAGAGATTTACTGGCAGGTCTTGTACAGGATATTGAACTGGTTATTTCGAGCGGAAGTACAAAAATAACCGAGGAAATGAAATTAAAACTACGGACGTCACGTGGGTTGACAGTGGAATCGCGAAGTGTTGAAAAAATAATGGTGAAAGAGCTGGAAATACCACTGCCATCGTGTGAACCATTTCAAACCGTAAAGATGCAATTAAAAGTTCTAGCTGAACTTCCACCAAAAAAAGATGCTTCGTCTATGGAACATAAAGTATTGAAAATTTGCAATTTTAACTATTTTCTTTTCTCTATGTAAAAAATCAATATTACAACTTTCGCAATTTTTTTGTAGTTAAATATACAATGTCCGTGGGGTTCGGAAGAAAGTATACCTTTACACTTTGGCCCACCGCTAATGTCAAGTATGAAACTGCACACAGCAAAACAAAGAAAATTTATTCAAATAGTCGTGACCGGTTTGACCAGTCAGCTTCTGCAATTAACTGAGCCTGAATTAACAACAATCACGTCAATAGACGTTAACTTCAAAAATTTAAATCCTGTCGCGGGTCAAAGATTAGTAATAGGAAGCGGAATGAACGTTTCGTTCATGTGGGAACTTGAAATTGGAAAAGATGAGAAATCCACGATGCCAATAAAGACTGACTTTCGTGTAAAATATATACCAGTTAGTGGTACTGAGGAGTTAAATACGCATGTTGATGATGATCCACTACATATACATAATTTAGAAAGAATTGAGAAAACACATAGTGTTTATAGATGCAATTTTGATATTACAGATTACGTGGTAAGGAGAATTATTATTAATTAATATGTATAATAATTTATATGTAAATATATAACATATTACGAAATATAATATTTTATTTTAACTAAAAGAACAATTTCGTGCGCGAATTAATTTGTAGCACTGTTGTATGTAGCGTCAATTATGTAATAAAACTTGTATCGTGATATCGTTTGATATTAATAATGTACATAAATGTTTGATATTATGTCAAAACAATATATTATCATCAACACACGCATTAATTGTTTTTGTAATAATGATATTTTCCAGACTTTATTCATGGTATCCTCAAAAGTTGAGACAAGTGGGGGTGGAGGAGAGTTTTGTCGCGCTGGTAGTATGTGTCACCTCTGTCTTACAGTGATGCGCGTGTTACCTAGTCTTGGTCCAAATCCTCCACCGCAATTAATGTACGAGGTTCTAGCGGACCAAACTATGTGGGCAGTATGCGGCCGAACCGCAGGCATTGTGTCATTAGAAATAGTAGAAAAACAAAGTGTTACGTTAGATGTAATGCCTCTGACAAGTGGTTATTTGCCACTTCCTGTTGTTAGATTGTCACGATACATACCGGCAACGGAATTGAAAAATGGTAAGTTTATATTCTTATGTAATTGTAGCTGTATATTCTTTTTGATTTGTGAAAATTTATCAAATCTCAAAGAGATTTTTTTAGTACACAATAATATAAATTATTTTTTATAATATAATTATTGATGTAACATTAGTAGCGTATGGAAATTCTTATAAATAATTTATTTCTTTTAATTTTAAGATATCGTTCGCAATAAAAATGACGTAGGATCTGGACCTCGATTAGAGCCATTTAGTCCAGGACAAGTGTATAACGCCAGTAAAGCACAGCAAGTGCATGTTCTGCCAGCAGCTCCGTCAGAATCAAGTTAAAAAAATGCGTAAATTATTGTTAAAGACGTGTACATAGGTTGATTTCATGTAATAAATCACATGAAAACTTTTAATTAGATAGAACTTTCGGAGAAAGTTCAATGAAAGATATCAGATTGTTTTTTCATCAAAACTAAACACACAAGAGTGTATATATGGTTTATTTTTAATTCGCATAAGATTGGAAATTAATTTACGTTCTCAATTAAATTATTGTTAATTATAAATTACGATGTTACAAACATAGTTTACTATTTATTTTTGTAAGATTTGTAAGACAGTTTGTCCTGTCTTTCAAACGGGAATGTTTTGTTACCAAAGTTTGTTCAACTTTTCAATTATCTGTATATGCATCTTTCAGAATTCAATCTGTGCGATTGATAGCTAACGATGCCATAATAAGATTTTCTTTAAAATTAGAAAGTTTTAAAGTGTTTAGTTTTTCATCAAGAAACACAGTTTTCTATTTATGTAAAAAGAAACCAATACAATCGTAATTTTACACTTCAAGAAATTACAAAATAACATTACAACCAAATATATGTAAAATATATTACAGCACGAAGAAATATTAGGAAGTATCCTACTTTTTGACACTTTTGCATTAATTATAAAATAGACACAGGAAAAGTTGCATTATATTCATGTTTCAATTTTATGTACTTATTATAATGTTGCCATTTTATATGATGCGTTCTCTTTCACTGGTTATTTTTCTGTATTCTATACTTAAAATTTAAAATCTATCTTGTTCAAAGTGTTTACATAATTATTATTTTAAAGCAGAAGTAATATTATATAAAAAACAAATTTTTATATGATGTATAAATATGTACAATTGCAAGAGAAATATTTGAAGCAACAATATTAGAAATTATATCTAATAGCAACGTATTCGTAAATTTGTGAATAGTTTAAGTATTATATAATTTTTATTTTTCTTGTAAACATATTGTAATTCCTACATATAAGCATAAGTTTGATACGTAAAGTAGAAATTTAATGCTATACACATTTAAAAATATCATATTTTGTTTAATATTATTTGTATCTTTTATGTGCACATACATACAAACTCCACAAAACAAAACATGTACTTGTAAGCAATTTATCAAAATCAATCTTACCAAACAGAATGTTCTTATGTTGCCATGTTTTTTGGAATATCATAACTTTTTATATTTGTATAATATTTTAACTTGTATATAGATAATCAGAAGTCATACTCTCTTGATTATTCAAAAAAATCTGTATATATATGTATATACATATATGTATATAATCATGTTTTTGTTATCTCTCAACTTATGCGCTGGAGATAGTTTTATTGAATAGTGTAACATTTATATACTATATTTTTTTATTGTATAAGTGGAGAGAGATATATTTTTTTATTGTCTATATTTGTTGATTATCTTATATATACGTTTGATTCGATCTTTTAAATAATTAAAAACAATTAAAACTGATCTAAACCAAATGATTTTACACACACACACGTGTGTGTGTTAAAGACACATTAATTAATAAAATTATATTTTTATCAAGTATTTTATTTTATATGTGTGTGTATATATACATATATACATTATACATGATCAATTATTTAGTATAATGTTACTAGTACTCATATTAAAAGATTTGTTTCAAAAAAATACTACAAAAAACTTTCTAAGATAAAAGTTCACCTAAGATATATACAATTATGTATTTTTTATGTTCATACATATACACATAATTTATAGTATTATTTCACATATAGAAATATTTGTGTGTATATTATATATATATATATATATATATATATATATATATATACATATGAGAGAAAAAAGAATCCCATGTTTAGAACATTCAATAGTTTTTTTTTAGTAAACCATCCTGGCTTGATACTCATTAAAAGCATTTTGTGTATAGAATAATGTGTAAAAATAGTTACTTAATTATATGTGTATCTAACACACGTATAGATGGGAACACGACATATAACATTGGCATTTTATATATTCTTACTCTCTCTCTTTTATATATTATCTATTGAGAGAGAGATATCTGTAACTCAAAAGAAACTGTTATACACATTTTTTAATGTGATTTTTACTGTCACAAATAATATTAATTAGTAAAATGCTTGCATTTAGTTTAGATAGATCTAAACTTTAGATAAATCTAATTGTGACAAATCGTATAGAGCTTCACGTTATTCATATGTTTATATATGTATACAAAAAGTAATGCATATATATGTAATCAATAATAGAGACTATCATATCTCATTTTATTATTATTTACTAAATAGATTAAATTAAATTGTGTTAATAATCAAAAACACAAAAATTATAAGATAGTTGCACTATTAAAATTTTATATGGGCTTTGTATTTAATTATATTTGATATATAGAAAGAAAAAAATGTATTTACTGTGTATGTGTGTGTGTGCACGCATGCGCGCGCGTGCGTATGTATTATTCCAGCATAAATATGCGTGCTATACGTAAGCTGATAAAATAGTATTTATCTTGTTACGAAACTGATTTTATAAATAAAATGTATAAGAGATATATCTCTATATATATATATATATATACACACACACATATGTACACATATAAGTAAACATGCTGAATACAATAAAATTTTTATTTTTTATAAATATGTAAAACAATATGTATATATGTGTACACTATAGAAATAAAATTTGTCTTTAGTACATGTGTGTCTGCAATGAAAATTAATAGATACGTAAACAAAAAACCTTACTGTTTTTGTAAGTAAACTAAACTCAGAAAATTTTGTGCGAAATATAAATTTTATTTTAGATACAAAAATTATATACAAAACACACATACATTTATTGATAAATTCCTAGTGAAGTGTATAGTCTTTATAAAAGCTTGCATATAGAATAAAAAATATAGTTTAATGATATTACATGATGAAGAGATAAATATTGTGTGCATCTTCTTTTATTATCAATAAAAAAAAGTGGATGTGAAAAGATTAACCATCTCTATTTATCTGCGTTTGTTTACATTACATTGCTATATACATATATATAATTAACAAATAACTAAAAACATAACAATGTAATGTTTCATACACAAATTTCAATCCTTATGTGTGTCATTTTTTAAACAAAATTTATTATTTAAGTTTTTAATTAATAAGAAGGTGCTGGCTTTTGTGTCAAAAGTAAGCCATGTCTTCTCTTCATTGTAATCCTTTCTCGTGAATATTTATCTTCTACTGAAAATCTTGCTATAAGAATATGAAGTATTCAATTATAATTTGATTACTTTAAAACCATAAAATATAAATACAAAAAACTGTTGTTTTCTTTCTAATTTACCTGGATGTGCTGATTGTGTTGGTTGTCCTTTAGGATCTTTTTTCTGCACAAAATATAAAAACAAATATTCAACTTCAAGAAAAATAATAGTCTTTAAGAGTCAAGTATATTAGAAATGTATGTATGAGATAAATATTTAAAAAATATTAAAAAAGTAAGTTAATAAACCTATTTGAATTAACCTTAATTCAAAAACCTACATTCAATGTTTTTGTATAAAAAATCTATATCGAATGCTTAGTTTGCGTCTCGTATATAGAACTTAAAAAAAAAAAACTATTATGACAAAAATACTTTGAGGGAATCAAACCTGGACTTTTCGCACTCCGTGCAATAAAATTGGAAAATAATACGCACATAAACTCACACACAAAACAATTTTTCATTTTTATAGGTTAGATGCTTCTACTGAGTACACGTGCATCCAGGTTATAATAAAAACATTTCTACACGGTTATATTGCAAATTGTGTAATGACATAAGAAAAATGGAGGTGTTTAAAACGATAATTAGCCAAATTAGATAATTACCTTTAAAGTGTACACACGATTACCGTTTTCATCCAGATAATAGAGGAGATACATTTTAGCCAATAATCCGTACAGGAAAACTGCGGAACAATTTTGATTATGTTAAAAATCTTACATTTTTATTTTTTAATGTAATAAATTATATATTCTTCGTTTCTTGTGTATTACATTTTACTACAATCCAAATATTCAGCTATAATTAAAATACATACCTTTGCCAAGCTGTCTTATTACTTTTGTTGATCTTTGTGACACGGCACGCGTTCTTTTTACGAGCAAAGCTAGCAGAAGCTTGCTTCTTTTAGTAAACTATCAGCGCTGCCAGCGCCAGCAAGTAACACAAATTTACACGCACAGTGTCACGCGACCTAAATTACTAGAAATTTTGTATGCTGTATGGAGCATTCATAGTAATTTACTAGATTGCGTGCAGTGTGACTGCATTTTAAAATTCACTATCAGTCCCGGTACAAAGTCTCGGATGATTCAACTCTTTGAGACTTGGGTGTTCCTTTAATTCAACTCTTCCTTGGTTCCTTTATGTATACTCCTTGATTGAGTTTCGCGACAATGTATATGTAACAGTATGTACATACACAAATGTGCATAACAAATACAGATCGGTGATTGACAGTAAAACCAATGGCATATGATGTCGTTTTGCTTGTTGAATTACTTGCGTGCTGGCTACCTTTAGATCATGTGATATTTGTGCTGATCTACTGTATCCTGACAGGCTCAATGAATCAGTCCAGAACCAATGCAAAAAAAATGACACTTGATTTATCACGGACATTCAGTCTAGACAGCACAGGAGCACGCAAGCAATCGAGCAAGTAAAAAAAAACAGAATTGTTTATTCTTGGTTTTACAGAGATGTAACATCTAATAACACACCGGTGACGCCAAAACCGAACGCCATTTTTGATCCAGAAATTTAAAGTTGAATCTTGGTTGAATCGCTTCGAGTTGTTCGAGCTCCAACTTGAGAAATTCAAGAAAAAAGATTGCAGTAAAAATATGAAAATTTTACAGTACACATGTAGCGTGATGAAAGGGGGTGAGTTTATCGAAGGATGAAGCAACGAGGTAAAAAACTGTCTCCTTTTAATGAACTATATTCTACGCAAGAGCATCGTAACTTATTGCGTGATATAATGATTCTGTGTAATTATTGCGCGCGCGTTAAGACGTTTTAAATATACACATATGCTTTTAAAATATTTATATATTAAATTATAATATTTATACATACGTGCTGGAAGAGGAACGATGTAGCGTTTTCAATTATAGTACGGGTTGAGACTCGTTTTCGGAGCAATTAATGACGTCACTTTGGCCAATCATATCGCTCGATTTACCGAAATATAACCGCAGTCAGATTCGAATAATAATCAGGAGAATCATAATTGAGCGCACAGAAAGAAAGCACATTGACAATGAATAAAATTGAATGATTATGATTTAAATCGAGATTTATTTGAAATATAATAGAAACTGTCTTATATTTTACATATACATATATATGTATATTTTTGTTATCACTTATATATTTTTTTAGGTACATAACAATTGATTCTACAGTAATTCGAAAAAATAGAAGATCAAAGATTCATAGACGAAAAGAAATATGATGAAATGATGATCTCAATCTTGTATGTAAATACATTGTGTTATATCGCATTTTTTTCTCGTGCCACATGATAAAGTTGCCGCGAACGTAGGCGCAACGATATATTCGCCGGTAATTAGAGACGGGAGGAGAGAACCTACGAAAAAGAGATATATAACCGCACACTTGCCGAGTGCGCGAGTGTAGGCGTACTAACTGACAATTCTTCTCACGACGAAGTCAACATATAGTGAGCTTGCATACACGCAACCGAACACACGAGACTTTAACTCCGAACAGTCAGGCCGGAGTGTCACTTCCGTCTAGTCTGTGACAAATCGCGCTGTCAGAGTTCATTCGCCGACTTATCGGTCTGTGACGAAGTTCAGTGTATCGAACCACGTGGTCAAACGCACATTTTTTAATTTCCTTATAATGTCGCGCGGACTTTTCCGAGGTAAATTATCATATTTGTAGAGTGACTGATATATGTATATACGTGCAATCACGCGATTTTGCATATGTGTCTTTGTCACTCGCAAAACAAACAAGCGTCTCGCTTGAGACGCAATTTCACAACGAAGTGTAAATTATATAAGTGTTGAATATGTAAAAAAGAGGTCACACATTGCTATTCTTCAATAATACGCGCGTAGCGTCATTGATGGTCAACTGTTTCCGTTGAATGATTGTGCGATAGGAAAAGAATGTAGTGTGCTTGATAATCTATACATATATGCTAACATCTGCAGGTGTATATGAACATGCGCACAAAAAACAACTTTGTGCAAAACTTACCGTGCTTATTTTTTTGCATGTCAGACACATGTTAGTCAAGTGTGTTAAAATATTAATATGTTAACATATTTTTGATAGACACACAAAAATTGCTACAATTTCATATATATATAATAGAGCATTTCATGAAATAAAAATTGTTAAAATAAATAAGTTTCAGCGCGGAAACTAATTTTAATTAATTTGTTTACTTAGACATACTTAGAATGTCGCGCGCGCAAATATGTAGAAAAACATTCAAATCGGCTCAAATCGTAAAAAAAAAAAAAATAATTGCGATAATGTAGAAATTACGATTTACTACGCGATGGAAGTGGTACACACACTCCACTTGTTCGTATTATCGGCAAACTTCCGTCCATAAAAAAAAAAATTAATCGCGCCGATATCGTCACGGCTACTTTAAATCTGCTTTTACGCCGCTAATCTCATTCAGTCCAACGATTAGAACTGATTGCAAATCGTGCCGCGCATCGCGACTCTTACATTCAATCGGGTGATCGACACGTGGTCGAATGCTTCTAGATGCGGCGAAGAACAATTCGTTGGAATATTGAGATACCAGAAGAACCGCAGCATGTCGAAACTGTCGAGGAACAAATCTTAAGTGCAAAAGGTAAGAATCTAAATAACACAAAATCATTTAAAACGTGCGTAACGTACATATGTGTACGTATATTTTTTAAAATCATATAAATAATCATTTATAACATTATGAGCATCAAAGTCTCTCTCTGTCATGTTTTATCAATTTAGGAAAATTTAGATACTTAAATTACATATTTGAACTAAGATAAAGAAAAGGTGACACAAAAATAATACATATATGATAAATCAGTCTGTAATATTCAATTTGGATATTTGTAAGTTTTATAAGAACGCGATCTGTTAAACAAATGTTTTTTTTTTTCGAACATGCGATGCTGTTAAAGCTCGGAATGTGGAAAATGTGTCGCGTTTCAGGATTTATATGTGACATTCCTAGTCGTAGAGCGATAAATACAACTCCACTCTACTCACCGTGCAGAGTCGTGACACCGCATATGTTGAAGTGATTATAAATAGGAATGATCAGTTGCGATCGCGCGCTTTACTCCGTTTCTCCTTTCAAAGTAACATTTTTGTTTTTTTATAGATAATGTAATTTTGCGATGCCAATTTGTTTTTTTTTTTTTGTTGTTGACACATTCCGTTTTCTGTTCTATATCCGTTCGTTTGATTAAATTTGCTTCAAAAACACGTGGAACCGGACTATTTGTTTTGCGACTGCCGTAGATGGTGATATCGAAGCAATTTCGTTTTGTGCGCCACTTGACAAACAGAGAAGATTATTGCACTTTGACGGCGGATGTCCGAAGGCGCAATCGCAATGATGCGTTCGGGTGAAGAGATTGTGTTATTATTCTTATCTTTAAATTTATTCCTTCATGATTTTTTTGTGGACGATATATAAGTTAACAAATTTGGGGAGACAAACTTTTTATTAAAAACATTAGTGGGAAAAAAGTTTTTTTTAAGAAAATGTGCGTGTATTTATTTGGAAAACACATTATAAACATTAAAAGATTCATTTTTCCAAATTGCACTTTCGACAAACTTATTCTATAGACTGAAACATTTTTGACACATTTTAACATGTGATTTGAGTCAAATTTGTTAGACCGAAGACGGTGCTGTTTGATGCGTCGGCGCTAAGTTCTAGGAGAGATCACCCGCAGGGTCGAAATCTGGATACCCGTGCAGTGTCGCGACGGGCTGCGTCCCATGAGGAACGTTGTTCTCACAAGTAATGGGAAGATGCGATTTTGTTGTAGAAGTTTTCTGAAAATGATGCGCCGAGTTTTTATTTCCTTTTTTAGATAAAAAAAAACGTTGACAGTTTGACACGAGCGATCGAAGTCTAATAATAAACAAGTCAGTGAAGTTTCTCACATGGCCACTTGCCGGCATACGATATCTCCGTAATGCGAAAAATGTATGCATTGCTAAGCGTCATAAAGGGATGCCGGGTGTGACTCTACCTTTCCATTAGCAAATGAGCAGGAGGATTTGTTGTACTCGCTACATCGCACAGTGTGCCAGTAATCGAAGTGTGACTGTTCTAAGCGCTGAGTGCTCTGTAAATTCTATCTGTGATCTTTCGCGTCGATTTTTTCTTCATTACATAAATTGACTTTGCAAATTTTTTCATGCGAGCATTAATTAATTAGACTGTATGAGCACGCGAACATGATAAATATACACGAATAGTTGTGCGAAATATTTTTATTGTAAAAAAAAAAGATAGAATTTTCTACGTACAACACAGAAATTCACACATCGAAATACTTGTTTCGTACATGTTGTTTTTTAAAATTATTGAATCAAAAACGATAGATAACATCAGTGTATAACAGAAGTTTTCTTATTTCTCAACTAGTTTTTTTGTTTTCTATCTCTCACGTTTCATCATAATTGCCTTTGACTGATTTAAATCACAATGCACGGATGTAATCAGTGGGCAGTCAGTTGTATCAAAGTGATAAACGCACAAGCAAATCTCATTTAACTATACTTGCGAAGAGTACAAATGTTACGCGTGTCCAGCTGTGTGAAAATATATTAATACCAAAATGGGCGATGCTATGTGTAAGTATATATAATAAAAAATGTGATATATTCGTTTCTCTTGCACGTATCTGTTTGCCGGACAAGATGCACATGTGACTTAGTTTTATTAATATCGATTAAAAGTGCGTTATTATTTTATTAATAAATATACTAAAAATTTTATAAATGTTTTTTAAATTTACAAAAATTATTCGTCGTTCTTTCTGCCTTTCTTCATATTTGTATGTAAGTCTGAAAATTTTCCAAGATATAATTAAAATCATGAAAAAAAAATGAGCGTGCTATAGAACTTATGTTATATCACGGACAAAAATAGACATACCACGTTCTTTGAGAATGATTTGTAATCTTCTTTTCTATAAATTTGGAAATAAGAGGAAGTTATCTCTCGTGAGGTTACAGCGAACGAATAGATCTTGAATACATTTGGTATGACTAGTGGTCAAGACATTTACCCGTTATCGCAACCTTGTTGATATCAAATCAGTAATTCGGCTACTTGTTATTTCTTAATTAATTGATTCAAAATTAAATAACTTCACGTGATTTTTATTGAAGATTAATTAAAAGTGAAATTAATGTTAAATAAATGTTAAATAAATGATAAATTTTTTCAGCTTTAATTTGACAAAAGTTTTGTCTCCATCTTGTAAAGCAGCGTCTTGTATATTCCTTAAAAAATATAATCAAGTATGTGAGATTCGTGAAATTAAGAGAGTTAAAAACAAGAAAATATTGTTCAAATATAGAATCTCCATATATATATACTTCACGGTCACACTGGTATATAATTAGTATATTACGCGTAAACAGATTTCAGATGGGTATGAAATTAATTAGATTCGTACTTATAACGCGTGAACTAGACGTGCGACTATGCATAACGTTATCGGTGTGACCAATATGTAACGACATCAAGATGCTATCTCTGGGTTATTGACACGGTGGTACGCACATGCACCGCTATATACCGAGACTACATTAGCGATGATACAAAATCGTCGTATCACCCGACGAGGATCTAGAACTTTCGTCATTTCGCATTTCCACGTGATTTTAGTTTCAAAACCCCAATCATTTTCGCTCAACATTATTCAAAATATTAAAATTTAAACTAAAATCGCTAAAAGCGCGACTGGAAGTTCCGAGAGCAATACGATTGCTCTGTATATATGCTCCATCTGTTTTATCAAAACATTAAAAAAAAATATCTATGCGGAATTTGTTGGTGACTTTTTATAAAACTTGAAAAGAAAATTTTAAAAGTTATTAATATACCACAATTGTGGATTGTGTCAAAATAAATTACACGTCACTTTTATAATTGAGAAAGAGAGAAAGAGAAAACATCATTGTGTGTACACACATTTAATGTATGTTACAATAATATATAAGTTCTCGAGTGTGTGTTTGGGTTACAAATGGACCATAACATAACCGATTACAGACTCGGGTTTCAGTTGACATACTCCACACGGGGTCCAGGCTGCATCTATACTTGTTCTATCAGTAAAGTATATCTACCTACTTTGACTTCTGAATATCTGCTTGGCATATCTGACACACAGGATGGCAAAAAACATTTGAAAAAATTCTCTCTTCCAACAAAAACTACTCCGTTTTATTACTTCGAAATTAGTCATTCGCGATTCGCACAGTTGACGTCTCAGATAACTTTGAGAAACATATCTCTCATAGAAGATACATAGAAGATACATAAACAATTATAAAAAAAAGAAAAAATAGAGAGATGTCGCATAATTATATTTTGAACATTGCAAATAGATAAGCTGCTGGATTTTACACAGATCCAATAATATCGTCTTGTATCAAATTCGTACATGCAATTCTTCTTCGTTCACTTTTGTTATTTCTGTTATTTTTTTTTTTTTTGTTATAACGACAGATCACAAATGTTCTTTTATTATTTTCTCATATGATAATTATAGTATAAGAGAACGGGGACCCACGCACGCGCGGTGTCGTCTGGAGAAAGAGGAAATTCTCTCGATGTGTTCTCGCGATGAGAGCGAGGAAGAGCTCGATATACACGTACACGAAGAAAGCAACTACACCGTCCAAGAGTTACGATAGGTGTATCCCTAGTGGGGGAAGTTGGGCCTTACAAGTTGTTGCCGAGGTTGCCAGTTTAACTCGGCTAGCGCGCGCCGCGTTTGGTAGTCGTCGATTGACGCGAGGAAGGGAACGTGTTCAGGTGGTTTGTCTCTCCCGCTAAGTTTTTTTTTTTTTTCCTGTTACATACGTTATCTGCGATTGTCAGCGTCGTTCTCTCCGCATCGTTCGCTCGCCGTTTATCAGCAGTGTGATGACAGTTTGATATCAAAAAGATCCGGGTGTGCCGTTGACTCGGATGTCGCGCAGCGACTCGTCGCGTGGCCTCCGGTCACGACGTTCGTGAAGGTTCCTTCGAAAAGGATTGTCGTTTCGTTCGCGAAAAAGTGAGAAAGAGAGAGAGAGAAAGCCGCGCGAAGTTGACGCGCGTGTGACAACGAAGCCGAAGACGAGAGCAACGGAGAAACGTGCGTCAGAGCGTGGCGTGCGTGATTGGAGTGCATGCGTGTATTTCGATTTGTCAGTGCGGAATCAACAAGTGGCGTAGTATAGTATTATATTTGTTTGCGAATGCGCGCGCGCGAACGAACGAGCGGCCGATTCTAACCTCTTGCGCGCGCGCGCGCGCGCGAATCGGTGCGGCGAGAATTCCTCGAGCTCGTTTGAGTACGTGCGTGCTGGTTCGCCTATCCGAGCAACGGCGACACGGCGCGTCGCCGTTGATTGATGTGAACCCGTCGTCTCCTCTGTGCAAAGCGCGCTCTTGGATATTACGCCGATCCGCGGTGGTTGCGTCCTGATACCTCAAGATGGAAGTCATCTATATAGGTGCGTTCACACACTGAGTGTCCATATTAAGTGTGTGTATGTGTGTGTGTGTGTGTGTGAGTGTTTGTAACACACAGACAGTGTGGGTATGTCATATGTGGGCGT